TGCTGGTCATGTACAGTAATACAACAGTGAAAGGACTTGAGAATTTGTCCTTGAGACATGCCAATCATCTTGAATGGAAAAATGTGAAATGTTGAAACGAAATGACAGCTAATGTCTTAATAGCACATTATGGTGTCAGTTGTCAATGATACAGATGTAGGATCTTAATTTGAGCCAGTTTGCTACAGCAGGAAAATAATCCTGCAGCAACAGGAAATGTGAATTGTTATGTGGATTATAATTCATGGACATTATAATGTGGTCATAACACTGTCATGACACATATATTTAGACCTGTTGTGACATATATTGCATTATTTTATGGCTGGTTATGACACCTACATAAGAGTGTCAAAACCCACAAAACCTACCACACAAGGCAAAATATTCCATTACACCATAGCCTGTTTGTAAACAGTATGTTATATAACATTATGTTATACTCCATTCCGAGTGTCCAGAGCTGTGCCCTAGCCGAGCCCTGAGAGCCCCCAACCCGCTTACCTCAGCAAGGATCGGCTGAGTGACGTATGGATTTATACGGATTCATCCACATTCTCTTACTTCACACTTTGTGTCAGTTCCAGTTCTACTGATTACATATAGCCTGGGTCCTTGTTTCTAATTGGCAAGAGAGCAGAAACAGACTGGCACCCAGGCTAGATTACATAATGTTTATCAAGGAAACAACCGTTAAAGGGATAGTTCAGGCAAAATCTATATTTTGGTGGAATTACCCTTACCTATAAAATAGAATCCACAATATTGTTTACTTCTGCCACAGCCAGGAGCTAGCATTATTAGCGTTGTGAAAATTCATGAATGTAAACAGCGGCACCAATGTAAGCAAAGCTTCATTGCAAGCCGAAACGTCCTCAAAAACACTTTAAACTAAGTTTGGTAGTTGGTGAAATTCGTAGGGATTATTTATCGTTCAAACTGCTGAAATAGTCTCTGGAATGTTGTCACTCAAAACTGGAACTATTTCCTTGTGTAGTCTCACAGCCGCATCTGTTTCTGTTTGCTGTAACATGGACAATAAAGCTGTATTGTACTGTATTGTATTCCATATTGAATTATCATTATAATTGCGCACAAATTGATGTCGGACATGCACCTACCCCAATGCTCTGTTGCTTATGACTGGGATGAATGCAGGAGCAGATTTCAGGAGCAGGACAAGACACCCTCTTTTTGAGGGTAAATTGACACAAGTTCAGTTCTGCAAGTTATAAAAACATTACTGTAAATAATTTATTACAACAACAACAAAGGACTTAAGAAACATACTGTTGACAAACAGGCTATGGTGTAATGGAATGTTTTGCCTTGACACTTTTATGTAGGTGTCATAACCAGCCATAAAATAACGCAATATATGTCACAACAGATATAAATATATGGGTCATGACAGTGTTATGACATATTATGACATGGTTATGACCGTGTCATAACGTGTTATGATGCTCGCTGTCAAGTAAAGTGTTACTGACATTTCTAAGAGGAAATTACAGACTTCAAAAGCCTTTTTAAACCTAAAATACAGTATAAGTTTAAAATGTCCTGCATTGTGGGAAAGTTCTCCTGCAACAGGTGATCAAATTAAGATCCCACATCTGTAGGTTGGCATGTATTTTGTTTTGAGGGAAAAAACAGATAATTTATCAAGAATGGGAAGTAGATTAAGATATATGAATGCCTCCAGGGCTACAAGGCTATGCAGGATCTATTCGATTACATCATGTATAAGGCCATCATGGCGTGGATTGATGGAACCACAGTTTTAAATATTCATTGAGGCGTTTAAGTGAAGAACCATGTTTCTCAAAGACATTGAATAATGCCTGTATATCTATTTCTATCCCTACCTGTCTTAACCTACTTTGAAGCTATATCATATTTCCTAATGCTATTTTCCTCTCTCTAGGTCCTCCTGTGAACGTATCATGCAACATATTCATCAACAGCTTTGGCTCCATAGCTGAGACTACAATGGTACGTATATATTCACATATATACATTTACTGGCTTCATTCCAGTCAATGTCAATCAAATGCATTTGAAAGTCAATTAAATCCACAGGGTAGCATTGCCAAACGATGATAAACAATGTGACAACGGGATATTTAGTTGTTGATGGGGTCAGTGAGCGTCAGGGACATACAGCAGTGTAGCCTAAGCCATGCCTGGAAGGTACTGTATGATTCATCTTATACCCCTGTCTTCATTTCCCATGCATCGCATGTGTGGTGTGTGTAGCATGGGGGTAGTGTGTGTAATGTGGTGTGTGTAGTGCAGGGGTAGTGTGTGTAACGCGGTGTGTGTAGCGTGGGGGTAGTGTGTGTAATGTGGTGTGTGTAGCGCAGGGGTAGTGTGTGTAACGTGGTGTGTGTAGCATGGGGGTAGTGTGTGTAACGTGGTGTGTGTAGCGCAGGGGTAGTGTGTGTAACGTGGTGTGTGTAGCGCAGGGGTAGTGTGTGTGTAACCTGCCGGCCTGCTACCACCCCAGGCCCAGGATTAGGGCCTGCATGTGCCTCCCGGGGTAGTGTCAGTGAGCAGGCTACAGGACGGAGTACACACTCACAGTCTCTGTGTCTCACACACTAACACGCACACTCACTCACTCTCTCACACACACACACGCATACACACACACACACACACTGATAATGTCGACAAGGAAACATCATAACGCAGAGTGTTTCTCGGGCCTAACATCTCTCAGACCTCCTCTCCACTCTCTCCTGGGGAGAATCTCTTACGTAAGAAGCCATTTCCCTTCTCTCTCCTCTCCCACCGAACAGATGAATTAATTAAGCACCATTAAGCTATTAGTGAGGGTACTTTACTGAAACAGTACAATATACATCCCCCTGAATAAGATATCATTTTATAAGAGGGTGTTTACTATTTTAATATGATAATGAATGTCCCTGCTGGAAAGGTTGTTTCTTAAAGATAAAGGTTGTATTTTGTTGTGCGTCTGTGATGTGGATCAGAGATGAAGTTGATGGGTTTGGATGGGGAATGGAATTAAAGGACTAGACAATGGATCCCCTGGAGCAAGGCTTTGAATGAATACTGAAAGGCACAGACACAATGGCATAGGCACGCATGCACACACTCTCACATACTTGCACACATGCGCGCACACAAACCACCAGATGTGAAGACTTTGCGCTAACTTTGCAGTGACGCGTCCTCTTGTCACTCTCTCCCTTTCTTTCTCTCTCTCCCTTTCTTTCTCTCTCTCTCTCTCTCTCTCTCTCACACTCACACTCACACTCACACTCACACTCACACTCACACTCACACTCACACTCACACTCACACTCACACTCACACTCACACTCACACACACACACACACTCACTCACTCACTCACTCACACACTCACACACACACACACTCAAAGCCCTGTCACCTGCCTCCCCGTCCCCGGTCTGGTCTGAATAAGTCATTGGCTCAGGAAGCGGACACACAGGCTCTCAAGTCATTACCACTGACGAGACAAGGAGAACACACACACACTCACACACACACACACACACACCACTGCGAGGCTTCCTGCTTTATAGATACCCAACCAGCAGGCACCTCACAGATCATTCAGCAATTACAGAACTACTTTAGGAACCACAGACCCAGTGGTGGTTGTAGAAGTACAGGTCTCTCTCTATCTTTCCCTCTGGATTAAATAATCAATACACCCAAATGGAATCTGGTCAGTGAAGCTAGACATAAAGATGGGGGATGATTTAAAAGACAAGTGGGCTTGAAGTGGTTCTTGTGCTTTGGGTAGTTTCTTATGAGTCGATGTCGATGGAAATGCTTTTACTACGACCCATAAAGGATTAGAATTGGCTCATTGGCTTTGACTCTGGTTGAAGTTTTGCAAGTCTATATTGAAAAGTGACATGCATTTGAGTGATATAGTTTTGATAATGTGGTGTTTTTATGATTACCCCTTTATGGATGTACAAAGGTGACAAATGATGATGAAGTCATCTGAAGCTAAGTGAGAAAACAGAAGTGAATACAAATCCATTTGGGATTGATGGAGTGATGTGATAAGTCTGATGGTGAAAGAGGACAATATGGAGGGAGAGTAGCCTCCAATATATTTGAAGAGGGATGGCATGGAAAGTGTGAGAAAATGGAGGGATTTCACAGTTCAGTGTGTCTGGGGGTGGGGGAGGGGGGTGCGAGAGGATGCGCAGTGAATGACAGAGGAGTCATGTGCAGTGAATGACAGAGGAGTCATGTGCAGTGAATGACAGAGGAGTAATGTGCAGTGAATGACAGAGGAGTCATGTGCAGTGAATGACAGAGGAGTCATGTGCAGTGAATGACAGAGGAGTCATGTGCAGTGAATGACAGAGGAGTCATGTGCAGTGAATGACAGAGGAGTCATGTGCAGTGAATGACAGAGGAGTCATGTGCAGTGAATGACAGAGGAGCCATGCTAGAGATAAGGGAGAAAAATAGAGAGAGCAAAAGATAGGAGAGGGGGATCATTCTCTTTACCGGCCTCCTCCGTAGCAGCAGCCCTGCTCCCACCAGCACCATCTGTCCTCCTCCACAACCACAACCACAACCACACACAAAGGGAGATGATGTAACATTGGCCAGGAGCAGAGAGAAAGACAGAGAGAGGGGGGGGAGGGGGGATACAGAGACACATTACTGAAGAGCACTAAGGCCTGACCAACAAGGCGTAGCTCATGGCCCATCACAGGGACAAGGTTTAATTCAGAGACAGACCGAGAGTAGGTGGGTCAAGCCTGTTTGAACTACAGGGAGAGAGTGGATTGGAGCATTCTGTTTACAAGGGAGACATAGAAAGATTTGATGTATTTCTGTGGGGATTTTTTCTGGGTCTGATTTGATTAGATTAGACTTGAAAAGGACTCTGACCCTGTGTAGCTCTGATTCCTTCCCAGCAGCAGCAGACCTTTCTGACTGTCACATTCCTTCTGTTAGCACAGTGCTGCTTTGACATGGGGATTGAACTGCTGTCAGTGATGGATGGAAACATTGTGTCATAGAGTACAAAGGGGGAGGCTACATACTACCAATTCTTATTTACTATAGTGTGTGTGTGTGTGTGTGTGTGTGTGTGTGTGTGTGTGTGTGTGTGTGTGTGTGTGTGTGTGTGTGTGTGTGTGTGTGTCCATCCTCACCCCTCATCTCATCCATCGAGGGTTGATATGACAGATCAGATCTGAGAATAAAGCTCAGTGGTCAATCCTATAGTACCAGAGGATTTAAAGCTATAGCGACCACATTAAAGATGGCAGCTGTGTTAGTCTTAGGACCAGTGCGTCAATCTAAGTAACATCATTCAAAATCCGTCAGTTCAAGCTAGAGATATCAGTTTTGCATGGACTGCGTCTCAATCAACCGCATGCGATTATGTCGGCCTTCCGTATCTGCAGTGGAAGGTGACCGAGTTATATCAGTGTTTGTCAGACCATGAGACAAAAACGTCTGTTGCGTCCGAACTGTTTGGGCTACAAACTAATATGACCGCTCTATGGAAAGATGAGATTCTTCTGAAGGTAACCCGGTATCAGTTTTAAATAAGTATGGAGGGAGTTTTGTGCCAACAAAAAAGGGGTTAAATATGTGTCCATGTAGAGCTGGAGGAGGTAAGCCCTCTTGCTGCGCCTTTCCGGCACCTTCCCTGTTGGGAGGCTAATGGAGCCCAGCTGAGGGTAATAAGTCAATCAAGTGTGTGATTGGCTGGACAATCAGCCCCAACAGTTGATTAGGCTGCTGCTGCTCCCGTTCGAGGGAGAGGACTGGAGACCGAAGCAGACAGGTTGGGGCTGAAAGAATCTCAGTTTAAGATAGCCTTCGTTATTTCTGTTCGTCAATTGTAAAATAAAACCTAAGTTTACTCTGCCTCACTGAGCCTCTCAGCAGGCTCTGTCACAGTCCAAAAAATATAATATTTCCTGAGCTTTCTTATCTTCTAGATGCACTGTAGGACAGACACTTCAATTCCTTATGATGTATTTTTGGACTTTCTGTTTTGCCATTTCTGAATGTGTTTCTCAATGTGTTTCTATGGGCTATAGTAGTAAAGGACAAAGTAGAACCCCCCCCCCAAAAGGCTTTGACTTTTAGAGGTTATTAAGAGCATATACCAAGCAGCAACAACGTGGACACAACACATACACTGAGTGTACAGACATTAAGGACACCTACACTTTCCATGAAGTAGACTGACCAGGTGAATCCAGGTGAAAGCTATGATCCTTCATTGATATCACTTAATCAGTGTAGATGAAGGGGAGGAGACTGGTTAAAGAAGGATTTTTTTGCCTTGAGACAATTGAGACATGGATTGTGTATGTGTGCCATTCAGAGGTGGAATGGGCAAGACAAAAGATTTAAGTGGCTTTGAAAGTAGTAGGTGCCAGGCGTACTGGTTTGAGTGTATCGTGAACTGCAACGCTGTTGTGTTTTTCACGCACAACAGTTTCCCTGTGTGCATCAAGAATGGTCCACCACCCAACGGACATCCAGCCAACTTGACACAACTGTGGGAAGCATTGGAGTCAACATGGGCCAGCATCCCTGTGGAACGCTTTCAACACCTTGTAGAGTCCATGCCCCGACAATTTGAGGTTGTTCTGAGGGCAAAAGGGAATATTATGAAGGTGTTCCTAATTTGTACAATCAGTGTATATGATGTCATGCTACATAAGTTGAGGTTTGCATCATCAGTTGAATTCTGGAATCTACCACTTCTAGCAACATGTGCTCTAGCTTACAACAGTGAAGGTATGGTTGGCTTGTTTGTTTGTTATGATAGGGCACACATTTTCCCTGACCTGGAAAAACTCCTGGCCCTAGTTAGACTGTATTTGCTCTTTGACTTCTTTCCTTAAGTTAAGTGTTGTTAGTTCAGGTCAGCGGGTCAGCAGTTCAATCTGTGAGTGCTGTGCCTCCCAGTCAGTCAGTGATGCAGTAACATAGGAGGCTTCCCAGGAGAGTGTTCCACTGTGTCCGGTGGTTCTTCCTGCTTATACCACAGATTACCCGTGCTCAACTAAACACGTTTGTGCCGCTGTGCCCACAGCCATGAGTTGTGTTCCTCACTGGGACACACACATGGAAAGGTGCTCACAACGACAGCAGATGTATGTCGGGAGTTGTGGTTGAGTGGGTATTGGGTATCATGTTGAGATCGAAGTGTGTGTGCCCTCGGAGATCCGCCTGACCTGTGAGCAACATTCTTGACAGGAGGATGACACTAATTATCTAGAGCGGTTGACGGTTTGTTTTTTTCTTCTAGTTTTGCCCTTGTTTATTAAAGAGGCGAGAGTGGTATGGTACATGGTCACATGGTAGACTAGAGTGACATGGTAGATCAGAGTGACATGGTAGACTAGAGTGACATGGTGACATGGTAGATCAGAGTGACATGGTAGACTAGAGTTACATGGTCATATGGTAGACTAGAGTGACATGGTCACATGGTAGACTAGAGTGACATGGTAGACTAGAGTGACATGGTGACATGGTAGATCAGAGTGACATGGTAGACTAGAGTTACATGGTCATATGGTAGACTAGAGTGACATGGTCACATGGTAGACTAGAGTGACATGGTAGACTAGAGTTACATGGTGACATGGTAGATCAGAGTGACATGGTAGACTAGAGTTACATGGTCACATGGTAGACTAGAGTGACATGGTAGACTAGAGTTACATGGTGACATGGTAGACTAGAGTGACATGGTCACATGGTAGACTAGAGTGACATGGTAGACTAGAGTTACATGGTGACATGGTAGATCAGAATGACATGGTAGACTAGAGTTACATGGTAGATCAGAGTGACATGGTAGACTAGAGTTACATGGTCACATGGTAGACTAGAGTGACATGGTAGACTATAGTTACATGGTGACATGGTAGACTAGAGTGACATGGTCACATGGTAGACTAGAGTGACATGGTAGACTAGAGTTACATGGTGACATGGTAGATCAGAGTGACATGGTCACATGGTAGACTAGAGTTACATGGTAGACTAGAGTTACATGGTCACATGGTAGACTAGAGTGACATGGTCACATGGTAGATCAGAGTGACATGGTAGACTAGAGTTACATGGTGACATGGTAGACTAGAGTGACATGGTCACATGGTAGACTAGAGTGACATGGTAGACTAGAGTTACATGGTGACATGGTAGACTAGAGTGACATGGTCACATGGTAGACTAGAGTGACATGGTAGACTAGAGTTACATGGTAGACTAGAGTGACATGGTAGACTAGAGTTACATGGTATTTCTGGAAGAACATCTTAAACAAAAGTAGAGACTGTGTCAGTCTCATGTCAGACAAGTGTACCATAGGTCCTCAAAGGGGCCCTTATAGACTACAGTATGTTTGTGTGTTTCTATAAGAAGGACTAGCGATGGACTGAGTATTGCAGAAAACATTTGGGACGATCACCACTGCTAGATATCTTCCAGATGGGTGGGAGGCCCTGTCTGCCATCACAGATTAGAGAAAAAAGGATGTTTGAATAAGCGACGAAATCCCACAGCTTTTCGCAAGCACCAGTGACAGTTTAATGAAAAGTGAACTCCCAAATGTGAGGTGTGTTGCCTTATTCAGTGTGTGTCAGAGAGCGGGAGAGAGCATTATTCATGATCAGCTGCTGAACGAAAACTTTCTGGAACTCCCATTAGCAGCTGATTTGGGATCAGCTCTCCCTAGCCGAGTCCTAACGTTAACCATTATGAATACTAACAACTACACAGGCCCTGGACCATAACCATGAACAAAACAAACACTGTCATGCCTAATCAAACATATCCCAATATTACCACCTGTCTTTTAGATATTGTCATTCCATTTTAAGTTAGGAGTTCTAATGGTAATAGTACACCATCTGTTTGATAGCAGGAGAGCTGCTGTACTGACGTTGTCTCTCCAAACAGCAGATGCCTTCAGAAGGGATATGCCAGTCCTTTTCTCTCCACTGCACTTTATGTAACATCTACTCTAAATGTTAATGGAAAATCGAATAAAAACAATTTTAAAAATGTATTACGTTTTCGCCCGGCTAAAGTAGACAAGATATGTAATTACAGCTGGGTATTTGCTCAGCAACACTGGTAAGAAGGCAATTTATATTGTTGTATCCCCTAAAATTAAGTATGATTTATTTATATATATGTATATATAAATATATCATCTACTTGAAGGTAAACAAAGGCTGAAACAGATGTTTATTGTTGGAACATTAATTTTAAAAAGTTATTCCTGAAGTGCCTTTAGGCCAAGTGAATTTTGACAGGGCTTTTTCCCCTATGGAACATAAAGTCTGTGCAGTACTATACATGGATTCAACTGGACAGGGCATGGGCCGTACACGATTGGTGATATAAGGGACATTATTAATATGCAAATCCCTATAAAATATGAATCAGCTTATTAGAAAGCCACCGTGGCGTGTGGCTAAGTGACAGTGACATGAGCACAGCGAACAGGGAAACGAATTGATAGAACAGGGGAGTTGATCCCGGAAGCACCAGAGGCACCCGACGCATCCGGGTCCCCACCCTATTGGGACTCCATGGTCCTCTCTGCCTTGGTTCATTGGTGTCAGCTCTCTGAACATCAGCAGGGACCACCAGGATCTTAGAGGGGGGGATACAGTACTGACTTCGGGTCCCCAAAGTGTCACCACCATATGGGGACTTCGCGCCCCTGTAGGTGCCCCTCTGCCTGGTTCATTGGTGTCCGCTCCATGAGCATCAGCTGGGACCACCAGGACCCTAAACTCAGACCTCTGGGGGAATGTGATGAATGCAGAGCGGGAGGACACAGTACTGTAGCTCAGTGTACCATGTTAAAACCCTGCAGTCAACTGCAAATGACAGCCTGTCACTAATTCCCTACGCCTCTCTCTCCCTCTCCCTCTCCCTCTCCCTCTCCCTCTCCCTCTCCCTCTCCCTCTCCCTCTCCCTCTCCCTCTCCCTCCCTCCATCCACCAGGACTACAGAGTGAACATCTTCCTCCGTCAAAAGTGGAACGACCCCAGGTTAGCGTACACAGAGTACCCCGACGGTTCTCTGGACCTGGACCCCTCTATGTTGGACTCTATCTGGAAACCTGACTTGTTCTTCGCCAATGAGAAAGGGGCCCATTTCCACGAAGTCACCACAGACAACAAGCTGTTAAGAATATTCAAGAACGGCAACGTCCTCTATTCTATACGGTGAGTGTGTACAATATGGAGCACACTAACACCCTTTTCACATTATACTAACTTAACCAAACTGTCCTGGCGCTGATATTTCCATCAACTGTTGTGGATTCATTACCAGGCTAGCTCAGTACAGCTTGGTTTGGCTCGGCTCGGTTTGGATCAGTAGTGTGAAAAACCCTCAAGAGGTGTGGGCCTAACCATCATCAAATGACCATCTTACATTGATACATCAAACAAGCTCCCACCCACTCAAATGTTTTATCACATAATCAGCCTATAGGCCCTTCTAATGGCCCAATGCTAAACATTCAATCCACTACACTCTTTAGAAAAAAAGGTACTATCTAGAATCTGATAGGGTTCTTCCGCTGTCCACATAGGAGAACCCTTAGAAAAAGCATTTTTGGTTCCAGGTAAAACCCTTTTGGTTCCAGGTAGAACCCTATTGGGTTATTTGTGGAACCCTTTGCCCAGAGGGTTCTACATGGAACCCAAAAGAGTTCTACCTGGAACCTGGAACTTAAAAAGGTTCTCGTATGGGGACAGCCGAAGAACCCTTTTGGAACCCTTTTTTCTAAGAGAGTACTGACAAAAATGCTCTGCCACACCATCAATCAAGCTGGGACACTTCTCATCTTCTGTCGTTAAACATAAAGCCATAGTGGGGGGTGTCACAATGATGTGTAAATTTCAAGGCGGAGCGGTGAATTGCTGGCAGCTTTGAGTCGATGGTACCAGTCGGGTTGAGTTATGGAGTTGTGTAGTGGCGGGGCCGTAGAAAAGCCGCAATGGAAGGCTGAGAGGATATGACATGACGGAGCGGAGGGATCCCCTCGGATATGGAGTCCATCCGCAGCCCGGTGCCTCCAGGGTGGAGGATGTCATTAAAACATGTCCAATATGCAGCCGTCAGCCTTTTGTCTCTATCCTTTTGCTCATTCTTTTGTTCTCTCTCCTCCGACTGGATGTCTCTCTCTCTCTCCATCCTTCTCTCTCTCTCTCTATCCTTCTCTCGCTCAAATTTTTTTCATTCTTTCATTCTCTCATCTCTCTGCCTCTCTCTGCCTCTCTCTCTCTCTCTCTCTCTCTCTCTCTCTCTCTCTCTCTCTCTCTCTCTCTCTCTCTCTTTCTCTCTCTCTCTCTCTCTCTCTCTCTTCTCTCTTTCTGTCTCCTGACTGCTCATCCCAACACAGAGCCCACAGTCTCTGAGGAAGGCATTGGCCTGTCTTGTTGTTTCTATCATCTTTGGTGTTTCACCAGCTGGTTTACAGCACTGCTGGTTTACAGCACTACTGATTCAACACTGAGCCAAGTTCACTTGGTACTTGACAGGATTTGTCCAGGCATGATACAGTACATGCGAATGTACACTCTTAGAAAAAAGGGTTTCAAAGCGGTTCTTCGGTTGCCCCCATAGGAAAGTCTTTTTGGTTCCAGGTAGAACTCTTTTGGGCTCCATGTTGAACCCTCTGTGTAAAGGGTTCTACATGTAACTCAAAAGGGTTCTACTTGGAACCAAAACGGTTCTACCTGGAACTAAAAAGGTTTCTTCGAAGGGTTCTCCAATGGGGACAGCTGAAGAACCCTTTAAGACAGCACCTTTTTTTCTAAGAGTGTAGGTTAGCAGAAATCCTGCTAACACTTAATGTGATGGGTATCTTCATAAAGGACTTCAAAACACATTCATAACCAATACTTAACACATTCATAAGGCACGTGATAATGGTGATGAATATGCAAAGGCGTTATGAATGCCTAATGTTTAGCCCCTTTCAAGTCAAACGATACCTATGCCTTATAGTTGTGATATATACTCAAATGTTTTTATTTTCTATTGTCTATCTGTTTTTACAGATTGACATTAACCCTTTCCTGTCCGATGGACCTGAAGAACTTCCCCATGGACGTACAGACGTGTATCATGCAGCTAGAGAGCTGTGAGTGAAGCACTATAGTATTACTGTAGTAATACTGCAGTATTTAGTATATTATCCACCCATTATAGCCCTGTGACTGCAGTATCCATCTGTGAGTACAGAACAGTACCATACAGTTCATTCAAAGTATTCAGACCCCTTCACTTTTTCCACATTTTGTTACGTTACAGCCTTATCATAAAATGGATGAAATCATTTATTTTCCTCATCAATCTACACACAATACCCATAATGACAAAGCAAAAACAGTTTTTTTTTTTTATGTTTGCAAATTTATACAAAATAAAAAACAGAAATACCTTATTTACGTAAGTATTCAGACTCTTTGCTATGATAATCGAAATTGAGCTCAGGTGCATCCTGTTTCCATTGATCATCCTTGAGATGTTTCTACAACTTGATTGGAGTCCACCTGTGGTAAATTAAATTGATTGAACATGATTTAGAAAGGCATATACCTGTCTATATAAGGTCCCACAGTTGACAGTGCATGTCCGAGCAAAAACCAAGCCATGAGGTCAAAAGAATTGTCCGTAGAGCTCCGAGACAGGATTGTGTTGAGGCACAGATCTGGGGAAGGGTACCAAAAAATGTCTGCAGCATTGAAGGTCCCCAAGAACACAGTGGCCTCCATCATTCTTAAATTGAAGAAGTTTGGAACCACCAAGACTCTTCCTAGAGCTGGCCGTCTGGCCAAACTGAGCAATCGGGGGGAGAAGGGCCTTGGTCAGGGAGGTGACCAAGATCCCGATGGTCACTCTGACAGAGCTCCAGAGTTCCTTTGTGGAGATGGGAGAACCTTCCAGAAGGACAACCATCTCTGCAGTACTCCACCAATCAGGCCTTTATGGTAGGGTGGCCAGACGGAAGTCACTCCTCAGTAAAAGGCACATGACAGCCGCTTGGAGTTTGCCAAAAGTAAACTAAAGGACTCTCAGCCCATGAGAGACAATATTCTCTGGTCTGATGAAACCAAGATTGAACTCTTTGGCCTGAATGCCAAGCGTCACGTCTGGAGGAAACCTGGCACCATCCTACAGTGAAGCATGGTGGTGGCAGCATCATGCTGTTGGATGTTTTTCAGCGGTAGGGACTGGGAGACTAGTCAGGATCGAGGGAAAGATGAACGGAGCAAAGTACATCCTTGATGAAAACCTTCAGAGCGCTCAGGACCTCAGACTGGGGCGAAGGTTCACCTTCCAACAGGACAATGACCCTAAGCACACAGCCAAGACAACGCAGGAGTGGCTTTGGGAAACGTCTCTGAATGTCCTTGAGTGGCCCAGCCAGAGTCAGGACTTGAACCCGAAAGAACATCTCTGGAGAGACCTGAAAATGGCTGTGCAGCGACACTCCTCATCCAACCTGACAGAGCTTGAGGATCTGCAGAGAATAATGTGAGAAACTCCCCAAATACAGGTGTGCTAAGCTTGTAGCGTCATACCCAAGAAGACTCAAGGCTGTAATCGCTGCCAAAGGTGCTTCAACAAAGTACTGAGTAAAGGGTCTAAATACTTTTGTAAATGTGATATTTCAGAGTTTTTTTATTTAAAAAACAGTTTTTGCTTTGTCATTATGGAGTATTGTGTGTAGATTGATGAGGGGGAAAAATCGATTTAATCCATTTTAGAATAAGGCTGTACCGTAAAAATTTTTGGAAAAAGTGAAGGGGTCTGAATACTTTCCGAATGCACTGTATATTATCCAACCGTTATTGCCCTGTGACTGCAGTATCCATCTGTGAGTACAGAACAGTACCATATATTATCCACCCATTATAGCCCCGTGACTGCAATATCCATCTGTGAACATTTGGAATAAAATGATGTAAGATGTTCAGATTGACCAAAATAAGCTGTTCATCTTTTTGTATCTTTTTCATCTGACAGGAGGGCCCTTTTTCTAGTTCCAGTAATAATGAGGTCACTGGTAAAATAATATGATGATAAGATTTGTGGTAGAGAGAGCGTGGGCATGGGTTTACCTGGGTAGGATAATAATACCTTGTCATGCAAGTGTGGGTGGTATGTCCTCTTGTGACCACACAGATGCATAAATGTAGGCTCTCGCTTACACACACACACACACACACACACACACACACACACACACACACATTCTCCCACACACACACACACACACACACACACACACACACACACACACACACACACACCCACACCCACTGCTGACCTAATACTCCAGGGTCTCTTCCTGCCTGGACTGTCTCTATGGCCTTGTAGAATGGACTCATTCAGGCCAGTAGGCCAGTAGTTAATGGCTATGAAGGTTACCAAAGCTGTTAGCGGAGGGTTATTAGCAAATATTTAGATTTGCAAAAGACTGCACTTCTAATAAGGGAGGACATGTATAAGCATATCAAGTGCCAGCTGAATATTTGCATATAAGGAGCATAATTATTGGAAAATGTTTATGGGGTAATCTTCAGATTGTCCTTGAGTAAAACATCAATATCTAGCTGCATATATAGATATTATACATAAAACATCAAAAAATAATACTGTGCAGATACACACTGCATACTACTCACAGACACATAAGGCAGAGATGATTGTGATCATTGCATCCACTTCGCTTTGGATAAATGCGTCTGCTAAATGGCAAATATTATATACACTTCTTTCGCATAGTATTACTACATAATCGTACCCATATTTTGACCCGTAGCACTTGTCCATTTACTGCAAGTGAATTTAAAGTCCCAATCACTCCGTCCATCAAGATGAGCTTCAATTTGTGAGTGGGATTCCTACACCAGAAGTAAATCCCTGTGGACCATCAATTGCTATGCATTCCCCATCTCTCTACAGTGCACCCCCCTGTTAGCTTTAACCACATGGAGTAAAGGAAGTGCTCCGGTACCTTGTTAAAGATTTGTGGACTTGAGGAGACACAGCACTGGATGTGTCCACTAAAAGTTGTAGCAAATTGGCAAACACTTACATTTGCACAGGGGCCCAAGTGTGTCTCAAAAGATGATAATAATTCATGCCGATTGCTGCTGTGTCGCAGCTGCAGAGGCTTTTAGCTGGGACATCTCTGTCTCTGTCCCCCCTCGCTCTCTCGCTCTCTCTCGCTCTCACTAGTCAAAACATGACTGTGATAACGCCAGTCACAAGATAACACTTTACTCCCACAGAGATAGCAGCAGTGGACACACTGTACCCACTAAACTAAAGCCTGCTCTGCTCAGCCAGCCGCTGAATGGCTTGGATCAGATATGCCAAGCACGTTAACCCACAGAAAAGAATGTAGACACACTCCAATCAGGAGGAATTGGAGTCAATGACTATATGTATTGAAGAAATACAGAGGGAGCACATATGATATAATATAAATAATTTATTGAGTAGTTAATGTATTATGTGATATAACTTGGTCTGAACTTGAATTGACTCTGAATTGACTGTATTTTTAATAGGCAAGGTACTGTGTTGAGGAAAGCATATAATTTGAAAATGAAATTTAATTTCACTTGGGTATAGGCACAGGTTAGCATACATGGCCAGATGTGGGAGATATAGTGGAAGAGACTGCAGTGAGTGGGAAGAGAATCAATGTCCACCAGCAAGTAGGAAACCCTCCTTTATGTCTCCCTTCATTACCTACAAATTAAATATGTTCAGAGGGGCGGCGGAGGGTGGATTAATTGATATTAATAGTAATGACCATGCTAAATGTCCCTCGTCCTCCCCTCCGTTCCTCCCGCCCCATCTCCTCCCCCCTTTACTCCTCTCTATCTCCCTCTGTCTCCTCTAACTCTCCCATCTCCTCCCACTCCTCCCTCTCCTCCTCCTCTCACCCTTTCTTAACCCCGTCTACCCTCTCCCCTGGACGCCTCTCTAACATGTAGAAAGAAGTACAAAATGGACATAGAGAAGAGAAGCTATAATTACATGGCGCACCATCATTAATTTATTTATACATTTTTACACACCCTGTCCTTTCCAGTGCAGTTGCGGCCCGGGGGATAGTTACCATGGCGCTGTACTGTTTAATGCTTGGGGAGATAATTTGTCTTCATTTGTACGGCCTCGCATTATTTCGTTATTTTATGTACCACAGTTGGTGAGGCCCTTCTGGCTGGCTTGAGTTCAAAGTGAAAGGGGAATGATGTTGATAGGTCGATGCCCAGTGTCTTGAATGGAGGGAAATATAATACATAGGCATTACTTTATGATGGGTTATTTAATGTCATTATGAAATCTTAGCAATTATAATGAATGGTTATGATGGTCGGTCTGTTGGGGTACTGTAGCATCATTTAGAACTTATGCATGGCCAGTATTTAGCCTAATAATTTAATAATTTATTGGATTTATGTAGCACTAATCCAGATGCTCAAAGTGCTTTATATAGAGAAAACGCTCATAGGGGAAACTCACCTCGTCCACCACCTAAGACGTAAACTGGCATTAGAAAATAAGCCATTAGTGCTAACCAATACTAATGTAGGAGTAGAGGAAGTTCTGAGTCGTGTTGCGACTACAGTACAGTGACTCATACTGCAGAGGCTACTTTGACTCATCTCATCTCCCAATATTAACCAAAATGTCTGTGCTGCCTAGTCTCCTGGGCTGGTGTACTGCATCATGGGATACTTCGGGTTAAAGATAAATAGCCTACATGCAGGGTTAAGATATATTCAAGATGCTTCTATATCCAGCTGCAGATATTTCTTATTTCTCTTGATTATTCAACTCTTGTTGGTATCTTTTAGTGTCCTTACATTCAAAGATATTTATTTTCCTACTGGAGACAGGATAGCTTTTCATCTTGCACAATAGTGTATACCTGTTAGAATGGCTGTTCCCTATAGTGGGCTGATGGACACAATAGGGGATGTTAATGCTTCAAATGGAAAGAGGTCATTAGGATGACTAGTACTCAGTTAACTGAGACCTTATTCAAAGGAATAAACTAATGGATTCCTTTTGACCCCATTTCTAGGTCACAGTTTACATTTATTTCCTGAGATATTAGCGTAAAGTCAACATTACATTTTAGTCATTTAGCAGACGCTCTTATCCAGAGCGACTTACAGGAGCAATTAGAGTTAAGTGCCTTGCTCAAGGGCACATCGACAGATTTTTCACCTAGTCGGCTCGGGGATTAGAACCAGCAACCTTTCGGTTACTGGCAAAACGCTCTTAACCACTAAGCTACCTGCCGCCCCCTAACATGGCTTTAGAATCAGACCCGTTTTGTTCATCTGATGAGATTATAATAATTTCCATCCCTCCTCCTTTCATGTCAATCACTCCATTATCTGTAAGGCATCAGTCATACATTCAATCCTGAGAAACCAATCATCATTGCCTGAATGGATAAATCCAAGGTTTGGATTGGCATACTAAATAGTGGATTGGCCCATGAAGTCTGTTAGTGCTTATTCCTTTAGCACAAAAGACGGTGTGAAATTAACAACATTGATTCCTGGTTGATCTATTGAAATGAACAATTGATCCTTGATGCAGTGTAATCTATTGATATTTCATATATGATACAGTATATAACACAAAGGGTATCTGTGATATTTTGATCTTCCCATAAATAGGATCTTTCCCCAGGTGGAAATATGAAATGTATAAATCGTCAGTCGAATATGTATTTATAAAGGCTTTTTTACATCAGCAGTTGACACACAGTGTTTTTACTGTACAGTAACCCGGGCTATAGGCTATAGGCTATATTGTCTGATTGCATGTCCCGCCTCTCTTCTCTTCCAGTTGGCTACACAATGAACGACCTGATCTTTGAGTGGCAGGAGAACGGACCAGTCCAGATAGCTGATGGGTTGACCCTCCCACAGTTCATAATGAAAGATGAGACGGATCTGAGATACTGCACCAAGCACTATAACACAGGTAAGAGACAATGGTAGTGTTTGAGATCGAGTCCATTGCAGTCGGACTGTGCAGAATCACTAATCTACAAATCATCTTCCATCCCAAATTAGGCTACTATTTATTACGTTTAGTGAATATGCACAGAGCCTTCCTCAGGCTGTTCCACACATGCGCTGAATACCACTGGGACAGTGTCAAAAACAGTCACAGTTAGAGTTGAAAGATGGGACATTCATTGTGAAATCTAATGATGTTTTCATATGCCATCATCAATGCCAAAACAGTAAGGCCCTTTCACTCAATTCAAGATGGTTTCATATTCACAGACTGCATCTCATAACAACACAATTGCTGCAGGCTTTCACAGCTAACTGCAGTGCTAGATTAATCCTAGGCCTAAGTGAGGCCCTATTCAGCTTCTTTGGCTGTGTTTAGACAGGCAGCCCAATTCTGATATTTTTTCCACTAATTGGTCTTTTGACCAATCACATCAGATATTATTCAGAACTGAGCTGATTGGTCAAAAGACCAATTAGTGGAAAAAAGATCAGAACTGGGCTGCCTGTCTAAACGCAACCATAGACTTGTTTGCAGCCAGCCAGCCAGCGAAGTGCCCAGCGAAGTGAGACTCCAGTCTACCACAGCACTAGCCAGATTGAGGGTGTGTCCGAAATGGCGCGCATATTCCCTATATAGTGCACTACTTTTGACCAGGCCCTATTTCAGATGCAGCCTAAGTGTGACCTTATTCAGCCAGTGAAGTAAAGTGCACAGTGAAGTAGCAGGCATTGCAGGTTGAATAATGTAATTTCTTCTACCTGCATCTTTCATGGGCCTGTCATGTTCTTATTGCCAGCGCTAAGTCAGCCTTAGCACGCCCGCTTCCTCACTCCTGGCTAATCAGGATTATGTTGTGCTTCAATTAACCAGAGGGAGAAAGGAAACGAAGAAGTATTTTTAGATGACTGAGAGAGCAGCAGATAGAATGGAAGAGGCTTGGATGGATGGATGGATGGATGGATGGAGGGAGGCAGGGAGAGAGAGGGGAGAGAGAGGGAGGGGGGAGAGAGAGGGGAGGATAGACAGAGAGGGGGGGGGGACAGAGAGGGGGGCAGAGAGAGGAGGAGAGGAGGAGAGGGGGGACAGAGAGAGAGGGAGGGGGGAGAAGAGGAGAGGGGGGACAGAGAGAGAGGGAGGGGGAGAAAGATGTAGGAGAAGGAATACTCCTTATCGTCTGATAATTGAAAAAGCTTGTTTTTCCCTCCTTTGGCAACGTTAATTATATATGGAAAGCTCCTTGGTGCATGTTTAGGCTTCCATGGTTGTCACGTCAACAGTGTTTGGAGTGAGGCTGAAGCATTCCCATATCAATGAATGGTCTTTTGGCTGCTGACTACTTGAAAAGAGATTCCGTTTTAGTACCAGTATTGCTTTTTCTTTGGCTATTATAGTCCCCCAAAAAAAGTAAAAGCAGAAATTAATACATTTTGGATATCGCTATGGAATTGTTATTCCACTTGCTTTTCCCTCCATGGTAACAGTTTAATGTGCAGCCTTGGTGAACTGGTATACCACCAAACAGTCCCTAAACTAAAGCCCTCCTGAGAACTGTCAGGACCTCATTTTAAGTTCTTAGAAAAGCTTCATCGTTTAGCTTTGTTATATGCAGGAAAAAGCCAAAGTGTAGGCTTATTCTATGAATAGAGAGGGACAGAATATGCCTCTACACAGGCTGCTATTTTTAGAAGCTGTCAGCTCTCTGTCCTGTCTCCTCGCGTGGGGAAAGAGAGATGAGAGAGAGGGAGAGAAGTCAGGCAGGAAAGAAAGAGAGCACTCTGTGCTGGAGGAGACGGGGAGGAGGTGGAGGAGGACAGGAGGAGGCATGTACCACTCCAGAATTTCTCTGTGTTTTCAAGACATGATCTGGAGGAATAAACAGTGGGAGAGTTATGTGTACCTATAGGTCGAGGGCAAGTCGAGTCACCAACATTCACTCACTTGCCAGGCGCGCAGGCACACAGTGAGAGAGTTAGAGAGCGACCGAGAGAGCGACCGAGAGAGAGCGACCAAAAGAGAGCGAGAGAGCGAAATCCATCCATCCGGTCACAACAGCCCAGCCTTATTGACTGAATTTGATTGACAGGAGGTCCCAGGATGTTCATGCTGAGGTCCCATGGGGGCAACCAACCGTCTGTCAAACACATTCCTGTGTGTGCCCCTCCACAACCCTCTATAATTGAATCAGGGCTTGCAAAACACCTATTGAATGGACCGGTCGATGGCGATGCACAGAGCACTGCATAACTGATTAAGGAAAATACCACATACCAGATAACTGATGTTCTGGTTGGGTTTAGAATGAAGGAGGAAAAGTGTTGTTTAGGAGAAGGACTATGTTAAATACCATTATCTGAGTGTTAGATCGAACTAAATGCACTTAGATCTGTCTGGTAGAGTAACAGTAGTGACCTTGGCAAAAACCTACACTACCTACCTTCACTTTTTCCGTTGCAAACCATTTAAAAATGTTTTGCTATGGCGTGCCCTAGTGAACACAACCCAGACGTCATTCTCCAGAGGCGTTCTTTCCCCCTCACCCATTGACATCTAAAGTGCCCCTGGTGAGATCAAACCCAGGCAGGATTTTACCAATCTCCCTCAGCGAGAGATATAATGCTTCAATATTACATTCTGTGGGGCCAGGCTTCACAAAAGGGTTGGACACACTCCCATAGGGTGCCATGGCCCATAGCCAGTGTGCATTGCTGTGGAACTCTATTTATTTATACGATTTGAAGGTTTCAGTCCATCGAGCTCCAGCTGCACTGAGTGCCATTCCAACTGATAGACTGTACCTCCATCTTCTTTGAGCACCTGGTCTACACGGTGGTGATTCAGCTACCTGGTGTTGGATCCTATGGTCAGTCTCCTTTCCTTGTCTACATGGTGGTGATTCAGCTACCTGGTGTTGGATCCTATGGTCTCCTTTCCTTGTCTACATGGTGGTGATTCAGCTACCTGGTGTTGGATCCTATGGTCAGTCTCCTTTCCTTGTCTACACGGTGGTGATTCAGCTACCTGGTGTTGGATCCTATGGTCAGTCTCCTTTCCTTGTCTACATGGTGGTGATTCAGCTATCTGGTGTTGGATCCTATGGTCAGTCTCCTTTCCTGGTCTACATGGTGGTGATTCAGCTACCTGGTGTTGGATCCTATGGTCAGTCTCCTTTCCTTGTCTACATGGTGGTGATTCAGCTACCTGGTGTTGGATCCTATGGTCTCCTTTCCTGGTCTACATGGTGGTGATTCAGCTACCTGGTGTTGGATCCTATGGTCAGTCTCCTTTCCTTGTCTACATGGTGGTGATTCAGCTACCTGGTGTTGGATCCTATGGTCAGTCTCCTTTCCTTGTCTACATGGTGGTGATTCAGCTACCTGGTGTTGGATCCTATGGTCAGTCTCCTTTCCTTGTCAAGTTCCTAATAAAAGAGGATTTCATCCACAAGGGATTAACAATCTTCTTGGTTAAATAACGGTTAGATAGGTGGATTTAAATCTCTCTCTTTCTATTGCTTACACATCGGCATATAATGCTTATACAGTCAGCTAATCCGACTCAAGATATAATGCTTGTGTCACATCATACAGCCTGTTCTCCTCTGAAACAGTCAGCCAGCTGGTCCTACAGTACAGGTATAGGATCTTAATTTGATAACTTTTGTTGCTGCGAAATGAAGATGATCTTCATGATTTATATAAATTCACTGAAAACGCTCACTAACACATCGTTATATTAACAGTATTTCAGTTTTCATGTGCCTAATTTTGGCCAGCTAATAGCCTAACCACCGATCAAGCAACATTTTGGAATAAGCGATTAAATCCTGCTGCTGCAGGATTATTTTTGCTGCGACAATACTGGTCAAATTAAGATCCGACATCTGTATCTGGAGTAGCATAGGCCCTGAGCTCCCTATGAACCCTGGGTAAAACTCACTGGGGTGACTAATAAGGAAGTAAAGAGAGAGATGTATAGCAGCTATTTTGAAGAACTTGCAGTGATTGTGATAGCCTATGTGGTTGTTCATCTAGTTGAATGTACTGATTTATTAGTGGCTCTGAATAAGAGTGTCTGCTAAATGATTAGATTATGTAAATGTATAGTATAGATATTATGGTGTTTATATATTATTTTCCTCTATGGTTGCAAATGCAGCATACGAAAAGGATTAAACATACTGTAATTCAATCTAAGGGAATGTTATCTTCTTTAATGGTATAATGGAGGTTGTGTGTCATTCTGTGATGACGAATCACGACAACCAATGTCAAAAATCCCTCAATGTCTGTTTTGGTTTTGGTTTTATTCATAGTAGGTTTGTTTTGCTTGTTGTTTTTTCCCTCTGTGCTATGGGAGTGGAGCACTTGGATCCTGTCATCCCACCCCCAGCATCTGTTATTGTTGTAAATTATAACCAGGGAAGAATCATCTCCCTCTCTGTGTCTCATAATCCTTTTAAAAGGAAATCTGGCAAATAAATAGACGTAACTGATGCTAGTGGGGTGATATCCTAGATCTCTGCTGAGGCCCTGGAATGCAGTCAGTGACGATTCCCTATTGTTTTCAGAGGTTTTGCGGGTTCTAGTTCTATAAATATTATTACTAGAACTGATATTCCCATTCATGTTGATGTTCTGTGATAGGTGATAATTATATTTCTATGGAGCTCAACTCACTTTGTTGGTTTAACAATATCCGATGCAGATGGTTGATAATCGGCATTGGAAATGTGTCAGTCTAATCAACAGAGACAAAATATTTTATTTTTACCAAGCGAGAGGAGGGGGTGCCGAGGTAGTGCTGCAGAAGCCATATGTGGTGGTTGTGTTTTGGTGCCAAGCATTGGAGCCCTGCCATGTTTGTTTGGTTACACTGTGAATGGCTGTACAAAATATTAGGAGCACCTGATCTTTCCTTGACAGACTGACCAGGTGAATCCAGGTGAAAGCTATGATCCCTTATTGATGTCACTTGTTAAATCCATTTCAATCAGTGTAGATGAAGGGGAGGAGACAGGTTAAAAAATTATTTTTAAGCTTTGAGACAATTGAGACCTGGATTGTGTATGTTTATTGTGCCAAGTATGAGAGTCAAAAGTTTGGACACACATTTTCTACATTGTACAATAATAGTGAAGACATCAAAACTATGAAATAACACATATGGAATCATGTAGTTACCAAAAAAGTAAATATAAAAAAATAAACAAATCAAAATATATTTTATATTTGAGAATCTTCAAAGTAGCCACCCTTTGCCAAGAGTTTAAAAACAACGTGCCTTTTGTTTTGCCTGTATTAAGCACACGTTTTAATCAGCAAGGGAGTCCTGCATAGCTATAAAAAATGTTTTTTACAGATTGACCAATGGTGTTTACAGTTGAAGTCGGAAGTTTACATACTCTTAGGTTGGAGTCATTAAAACTTGTTTTTCAACCATTTTCTGCATGACACAAGTAATTTTTCCAACAATTGTTTACAGACAGATTATTTCACTTATAATTCACTGTATCACAATTCCAGTGGGTCAGAAGTTTACATACACTAAGTTGACTGTGCCTTTAAACAGCTTGGAAAATTCCAGAAAATGATGTCATGGCTTTAGAAGCTTCTGATAGGCTAATTGACATCATTTGAGTCAATTGGAGGTGTACCTGTGGATGTATTTCAAGGCTTAAAGATTAAATGCATCAGTGATGACATATTTTACCATAATTAGTCCAGTGTCTGAATAATTTGCTGTGGCAGAGAGGAGGAAGTAGAACCCTTCAGGGATTTGACAGTTTTACAGAATTTAGCCTGGTTCCCATTACAATCTGAAAGAGCGGTTTCATAATAATCAGATTTTCAGATTTTTATGTGTGCCATTCAGAGGGTGAATGGTCAAGACAAAATACTTAAGTGCCTTTGAACAGGGTATGGTAGTAAGTGCCAGGCACACCGGTTTGAATGTGTCAAGAACTGCAACGCTGATGGGTTTTTCACACGTAACAATTTCCCATGTGTATCAAGAATGGTCCACCACCCAAAGGACATCCAGGCAACTTGACACAACTGTGTGACGCATTGGAGTCACCATGGGCCAGCATCCCTGTGGAACGCTTTTGACACCTTGTAGAGTCCATGCCCCAACGAATTAAGGCTGTTCTGTAAATTCAGTGTTTTTGTTTCATTGCATAGAATATTGATAGTTCTTAAGTTTACTGTAGATAATTCAACTCCACAGCCGTTTCTGAAGCCGTTGTGCTCAACTTACATCCACAGACATGAAAGTAATTGAATATCAAAGTCCAATCATCCAACAGGGTCTCTCCAAACATACCCTAGTCTCCGTCTGTCCATCTGTGACCCTCAATGAGGTCGAGGCTTTTCTTTCTGCTTGATTGAGATTCATACTGTGTGTGTGTGTGTGTGCGAGCGCTCTTTCTGCTTGATTGCCATCGACTTAGTGTCCAGGAGATGTGCAGCATTTATCCCACAGGGGATCAATACTTCAATGGGATGGCGTCTGGGTCACTGTGGAGAGATGGACACTCTATCAATCAGCTCAGAGGAGATGGCACGGCTGGGGTCACACACTCACAGACGCGCGCACACACAGAGGCATGGACGGAGGCACTCACACAGGCACACACACACACGATAGAGTTGAGCGCGCTGCAGGCAGCGTTCGAGCGCTCACATACATACACACACTGATTTGATTTGGCCCATTGATCTGTGATGGCCTGTCTGCCATTTCCATGGCCTCATTTACTGTAATAGTGCAGTTACTGAAAGAGCTTCTGAAGTGCTGTGGATCTGATTGATGGAAAGATGAGACACAGTCATGCATTAGCCTTAATGAGATGAATAACATTGGCTATATGTCATTTTACTCTGTGTGAAGTTAAATGAAGTTAACTTCCATATTAGTTTCATTCAGTTAACCTATTCTCCGAGCATCAGAATGCAGACTTGCTCTCCAGTATACAGCTCTTCTTTATATTCTTCTTCAACACCTCTGCGTCAATGTTCTTCTGTTTGCCTGAACCACTCTCCCAAGCCAAACAGCTTCCATTTAAACTCCAAGGCCAACTTCCTCCATTTTCTCCAGTCACAAAGGATGCTGACTGAGGCAACAGCGGTGCTCTGTCTTGCTCTGGTGAATGCCAGTGTGACATGTGTTTATGAAAAACGAGACAGAGCAGAGAAAACGTACTCTACTCTTCCGTGCTTATAGACCTCTCTCCCTGGGCTAGCATAGCATGCCAGTCAGCCTTGTCAATCAAACTGACTGTCCACAGGGTCTCCACGCTGGTATCACAGGGGCATTGACCCACGCAATTGGAGGTTAGGCATCAAACCCGGCCAAGCCGAGCCAATCAGGATGCAGAATCAGCAGCACTTCCTGTTTATTATTTGGTTTCTTCCTGTGTGTCCTGTTTATGTGTGTGTGAGCAGGCAGTGGGGCTACTTCAGCTTGGTGACTACAGTACAGTATGTGGGTGTTATCCTCTATGGGGCTTACACGCTAGCTCCAAGCTGCCTGCCTGCACCCCTTGGCCTGTTGCGATTGCAAACGTACATACAACATGCACAGACTATACATTAAGTGTACAAAACATTAAGGACACCTTCCTAGTATTGAGTTGCTACTGAATGGCATACATACACAATCTATGTCTCAATTGTCTCAAGGCTTAAAATTCCTTCTTTAACCTGTCTCCTCCCCTTCATCTACACTGATTGAAGTGGATTTAACAAGTGACATCAATAAGGGATCATAGCTTTCACCTGGATTCACCTGGTCAGTCTATGTCATGGAAAGAGCAGGTGTTCTTATTGTTTTGTGTACTCTGTGTACTTGTTAGGACTTTTTGGGGACCAACAATTGATTCCCATTCAAAATCCTATTTTCCCTAACCCTAAACCTAAACCTAAATCACCCCTAACCCTAATTCTAACCCTAATTCTAAACCTAACCCTAAAATAGCATTTTTACAAGTGAGGACCGACAAAATGTCCTCACTTCTCTGAATTTTAGTTGGTTTACTATTCTTGTGAGTACTTCTGGTACTCACAAGTATAGTAAAACGTGTACGTGCACACGCACACATATACATTTACATTTATATTTTAGTCATTTAGCAGACGCTCTTATCCAGAGCGACTTACAGTTAGTGAGTGCATACATGTTTTTTGTTTTGTTTATTTTTTTGTCATACTGGCCCCCCGTGGGAAACGAACCCACATCCCTGCCGGCCAAACCCTCCCCTACCTTGGACGACGCTGGACCAATTGTGCGCCGCCCATGGGATCCATACTGTGTGTGTATATACTCACACACACACACACACACACACACACACACACACACACACACACACATCAGTACACTGAGGTTGTGTCTACATTTGACACTTACATGCAATTTCTGCTATCAGAATACGAAGATCGCATTGAAAAGACGGGTCTAGATGCACAAAAGTCGCTTTGTGGTCTGATTGTGTTCAGATCTGCCTGACCACTTCAGGAGGTGGTCTGGGACGCATTGTGTGCAGATTTCTCCTCCGTCTGGACGCAATCAGGCTACTGAAAGCGCATACAGTGGGCGACTTCATCAGCACTCCTCCCACAAGTCTCCAGAAAACTTGTGTTTTGGGACCGAGCGACACCTTTTCATTATAACGTTGGAGGAAATACGTTCCTAGCGTGTGAGGAACGTGTTTGTTGGCCTCATAAATGCTAGCCAGCTAGCTAATATTTAGAAAAACAATGTTTTGTTTGGCTAGAGTTATGCTAACCCGTTTGCAATGCCTTTAGCATTGCTTGCTAGCTTGATGGCTAGCTACAGTAGTTAGCTACTGCCATCAGTTGTTGTTGTGTTATTATCATATTTTGCCTATTCCACCATTTGTAGAATGCATTCTGTAATTTGAATCCGGACACAAAAGACACATTTAAATGTAGGTGTATATGCATGACGCGTTTGGAATTCCATGATCAGAATACTAAAGCTGCATGAACTGTCAAGTCTAGACACGGCCTGACACACACACACACACACACACACACACACACACACACACACATCTCTACTGCATGCCTCCTCTCCGTCAGAGACCTAGACAGGAAAGAGAAGGAACGGTGGAACAGAAAGAGTCAGAGAAGAGGATGAAAGGAAAGGAAGCCATTTGATATTATCAGGACCCAGCAGAGAGTGATTGAGAGCATAAGGAGTTGTTTGTGGGTGTTTTGCTGTAGGGCGGTATCATGTGGTGTAGAGGTTATGGCAGTGACTCATTGGACTAGAGAAGTGCATTAAGGGCCATGTGGTGTTTGGCCCTGAAAAACCAGCTGGCCATGGAATTCATTCATAGAATTATTGCAGTGTATTCCTCAAGAGACTACGGAGACCTAGTGCGAGAAATGAATAGCGGTATCTATACGGTACAGATATCAGTGAGGCAGGCTGTGTCCCAAAAAGCACCCTATTCCCTATATGGTGCACTACTTCTGACCAGGGCTTGGGTCAAAAATACTACACTATGAAATGGATAGGGTGCCATTTGGGACACAGTCATAGTTCACCTAATGGGCAATGACATTTTATGTAATAAAATAAAATGGGCAATTTTCTCGCTCGTCCGATTCAAAGGGTCACGTATCCCTGAAATTAGCCGAAATCCAAAGACAAAAAATGTGAATGTGGAATTAAATAATGATGTACAGAAGTTTATTTCTGTCCGTTCGGTCCATGTACAATTATGTTTGTTTTACAAAACTGGTTTAAATAAACTATTCCTCCATTGTCCACCCCAAGGCCTGCACTGACAGCTTGTCACAATGAATGCCCTGTGAGTGGCAAGGTGCTGTCAAGGTCCAGAACACATACACACAGATGGACATACACACACACAGACGGGCACACACCAACCTGTTCTCAGAGCATTTTGTATTATTCTGTAAGTAAATCCGGGACACTCCATTTAGTACGAAAACGCTAAACGTACAATATGTTACGAATTTGCAAAACCTGTGATATGTTGCGAATTCTGACTATGTGGCTAACATTAGCTAGCTGGCTAACATTAGCTAGGCTAGGGGTTAGAGTTAAGGTTAGGGTTAAGTTTAGGAGTTAGGTTAATGTTAGGGTTAGGGGAAGGGTTAGCTAACATGCTAAGTAGTTGCAAAGTAACTAAAAAGTAGTAAGTAGTTGAAAAGTTGCTAATTAGCTCAAATGCTAAAGTTGTCCGTGATGAGATTTGAACTCGCAACCTTTGGGTTGCTAGACGTTCGCGTTATACACCCACTCATCCACCCCGACCAACCACCTGACTTTCATTTTTGCCTTAAGTAACCATCTGTTTTATGTAACCATACCAAACGTAACATAGCATACTAATTTGAGTGTTCCAGATTTACTTTACTATGTTACGTCTAGTCTATGAGACCAGGCTGCACACACTTCCCCGTCCTCCTCTTCAGTGAGTCTCTAGAGGTGCTGGAGCCTCTGGTCAGGTCACTGCCTCTATACTGACAGCTCTGTCAGCCTGCAGGGCTCAGGAAAGTGTGTGTGTGTGTGTGTGTTAGAGGAGGCTGGTGGGAGGAGCTATAGGAGGACGGGCTCATTGTAATGGCTGGAATGGAATAAATGGAACGGTCTCCAACCTGTGGAAACCACATATTTGACCCTGTTCCATTTATCCCATTCCAGCCATTACAATGAGTCCATCCTCCTACAGCTCCTCCCACCTGCCTCCTCTGGTGTGTATGTGTGGTTATACAGTATATGTGCAGTGTCTTTACACCTGTGTGTGTGTGTGTGTGTGGGGGGGGGGGGGGTATGCCTGCCTCTGCCTCTCAGGGTGTGTGGGTGTGGGTGTGTATGCCTGCCTCTGTGTGTTTGCTGATTGTGGATTCTAACTCTGCGCTGCTCTCCCGGGGCCGGTGCACAAACAGACAGAGGCTCAGAGAGCGCTCCCTCTCTGTCTTTCAGGAGAGACAGCCACTGTTCATATTTGTTTTGAAGCGTCAGCTGCAGCAGAGGCCTCACACACCTCCTCTCCTCCTCTCTCTTTCAAATCCCTCTGCTTTGAGACTCTCTCTTTTCAAAGAGAGCAGAGTGACTTTGTTCAAAGAGCTTCAAGTACATTGCTGTGTGACTGTTAGCAGAGGCATTATGCCCATAGGGGGCACAGGGGCCCCCTCAGATTTGTCCTGTTTAAATAAATAAAAAATATACACAAATAATGTTTGTAAAAACATTTTTGTTGTTGTTTCTCTGTAATACTACTGGCCACCTAGCAATTTTATGAAGTTGGCTTTAGCTAGCCCAGATAGGTTCCCAATCTCCCAACCTCATAAATAGCTACCAAGAAGCTATTTCAGGCTGTCAATCAAGTTAGAGTAGCTAGCTTGTCTAGCTATCTTAGCTGTCCTGCCTGCTGGCAAGGCTGGTAGACTTTAGAATAGCAAGCAATTACTAAATGTACTGAATAAGACTTACATTCCTTTCAATATTTTACCCACATTTTAGCAGAGATTTAGAGAAGCATATTTAGTTTCTTTAAAAAAAAGAACCACCAGTCAGGAGGATACAGACAGCTCAAGAGGTATGCTTAGATATCTTTATCTACTTCCCCAGTCAGATGAACTCGTAGATACCATTTTTGTGTCTTTTCGTGCAGTTTGATGGAAGTTGCTAACTAGCGTTAGCGCAATTGCTAACTAGTGTTAGCGCAATGACGAAGTCGATGGTAACTGCTATCATGCTAGTAGATACCATAGACTTCCAGTCATTGTGCTAATGCTAGTTAGCATTGGCTTGCAAAACTATCTCTAACTTCCTTCATACTGGAAACAGAGACATAAAAATGGTATCCATGAGTTCATCTGACTCTAGGGAAGTAGATAAAGATATCTAAGCATACATCTTGAGCTGACTTATTGCCAAAAAAAAACAAGTATCCCTTTAAGCATAATGATTATGGCTCTAAATTGCAGGAAAACGCTGTTTTCAGGATGTTTTTCTTTGCGAAATTCACCAACTCACAGACTGGGGGGCCTCGTCCACCTCCAGACCACCCACCAGCCATCCAATGTACTTTGTGCCCCCTCAGATTTTTGGGGTGCATGACGCCCTTGTCTGTTAGGGTACAGTAAACAAATACTACAGTAGGGAAGGCATTTCTTCAAAGTTGTGTGGGTCGTTGCATTGTATTGTGTGGGTCGTTGCATTGCTTCCTAATTGACCTGGCCCAGGTATCCTGGATGGATATAGATCTCATTCCGTCAGTAGAGGATGCCTGGTTGTTCTTTAAAAGTAATTTCCTCTCAATCTTAAATAAACATGCCCCATTCAAAAAATACAGAACTAAGAACAGATATAGCCCCTGGTTCTCCTCAGACTTGACTGCCCTTGACCAGCACAAAAACATCCTGTGGCGTACTGCATTAGCATCAAAAAGCCCCCGCGATATGCAACTTTTCAGGGAAGTTAGGAACCAATATACACAAGCAGTCAGGAAAGCAAAGGCTAACTTTTTAAAACAGAAATTTGCATCCTGTAGCACTAACTCCAAAAAGTTTTGGGACACTGTAAAGTCCATGGAGAATAAGAGCACTTCCTCCCAGCTGCCCACTGCACTGAGGCTAGGAAACACTATCACCACCGATAAATCTACAATAATCGAGAATTTCAACAAGCATTTTGCTACGGCTGGCCATGCTTTCCACCTGGCTACCACTACCCCGGCCACCAACTCTGCACCCTCTGCTGCAACTTGCCCATGCCCCCCCCCGCTTCTCCTTCACACAAATTCAGACAGCTGATGTTCTGAAAGAGCTGCAAAATCTGGACCCCTACAAATCAGCTGGGCTAGACAATCTGGACCCTTTCTTTCTAAAACTAGCCGCAGAAATTGTCGCAACCCCTATTACTAGCCTGTTCAACCTCTCTTTCGTAACGTCTGAGATCCCCAGAGATTGGAAAGCTGCCGCGGTCATCCCCCTCTTCAAAGGGGGTGACACTCTAGATCCAAACTGTTACACACCTATATCCATCCTGCCCTGCCTTTTGAAAGTATTTGAAAGCCAAGTTAACAAACAGATCACCAACCATTTCGAATCCCACCGTACCTTCTCCGCTATGCAATCCGGTTTCCGAGCTGGTCATGGGTGCACTTCAGCCACGCTCAAGGTCCTAAACGATATTATAACCGCGATCGATAATAGACAGTACTGTGCAGCCGTCTTCATCGACCTGGCCAAGGCTTTCGACTCTGTCAACCACCGCATTCTTATTGGCAGACTAAATAGCCTTGGTTTCTCAAATGACTGCCTCGCCTGGTTCACCAACTAGTTCTCAGATAGAGTTCAATGTGTGAAATCGGAGGGCCTGTTGTCTGGACCTATGGCAGTCTCTATGGGGGTGCCACAGGGTTCAATTCTTGGGCCGACTCTTTTCTCCGTGTATATCAATGATGTTGCTCTTGCTGCTGGTGACTCTCAGATCCACCTCTACGCAGATGACACCATTTTGTATACATCTGGCCCTTCATTGGACACTGTGTTAACAAACCTCCAAACGAGCTTCAATGCCATACAACACTCCTTCAGTAGCCTCCAACTGCTCTTAAACACTAGTAAAACTAAATGCATGCTCTTCAATCGAACGCTGCTGGCACCCGCCCACCCGACTAGAATCACCACTCTCGACGGGTCTGACCTAGAGTATGTGGACAACTACAAATACCTAGGTGTCTGGTTAGACTGTAAACTCTCCTTCCAGACTCCCATTAAGAATCTCCAATCCAAAGTTAAATCTAGAATCGGCTTCCTATTTCGCAACAAAGCCTCCTTCACTCATGCTGCCAAACATGCCCTCGTAAAACTGACTATCCTACCGATCCTTGACTTCGGCGATGTCATTTACAAAATAGCCTCCAACACTCTACTCAGCAAATTGTGTAATAGGATTCCACCTTCCTCCTATATTGTCCTTTTGCATGTTTGATGTCTTGTCAGAGGTCATAGTGGGTTTTCTTGTATGTGGCCGTGTCCTGTTCCTTGTAAGCGGTAGCTCTAGCCTTTAGCCCAGCGTGGATATTGCTGGTAATCCATGGTTTTTGGTTTGGATACATTCTTATAGTCACTGTGGGGACAACATTGTCTATGCACGTGACGGATGTGGTAATCTCCTCAATGCTATCGGATGAATACCGGAACATATCCCAGTCTGTATGCTAGAAAAACAGTCTTGTATCCTTGCGTCTGCTTCATCGGACCACTTCCGTATTGAGTGCGGCACTGGTAACCTATGAACTGAGGCTATGATGTGTGTGCGTGCCTGTGTGTGTGTGTGTGTGTGTGTGTGTGTGTGTGTGTGTGTGCGTGCCTGCGTGTGTGGGTGATGTTGGGGAGATCTGACAAACGTCAAAGCATCAAAGGCAGAGAGCATGACTTGCATTTTCACCTGAGGCCCATACACTGGGCTTTGATGACCAAGATAACCACAGCTGCATGGACCAACTACATGGAGAGTGATTTAAACTCCTCCACAGCACAGGCATATGCATATTATATATTTTGCTAGAATTGAGATTTTCTGAGAAGCCACATGTACAGTTTGTGTTTCCATGTATGTGGTATGTAAGGGGAGGAATGCTGATGCTTGTAAAATATGGTCTACAGAGAAACGTAATAGTCCCTAAAGGAGTATCGTTCATCTTTCCTATACATATTTTTCACTGTTAATTTCCAAGTATTGTATTCATGCAGACTTTCAGACAAAACAAAGAAAACATAGGCACGTGTCTCAATCTCTCTCCGCTCTTCTCCTTCTCCCTCCTCCCACAGGGAAGTTCACATGCATCGAGGTGCGTTTCCACCTGGAGAGACAGATGGGTTACTATCTGATCCAGATGTACATCCCCTCTCTCCTCATCGTCATACTCTCCTGGGTCTCCTTCTGGATCAATATGGACGCCGCGCCCGCTAGGGTGGCACTGGGCATCACCACTGTGCTCACCATGACCACCCAGAGCTCCGGTTCTAGAACGTCTCTACCTAAGGTGAGTCGGGTGCAGGGTGTGTGAGTGTGTGAGTGGGGGTGTTGGTGTGTGTGGGTTGGCAAGAGAGTGTGTTGAGTGCATCACCACTGTGCTTACCCAAAAAGGCGTCCCTTCATCAGGACTGACTGTCCGTTGTTGATTTATGGTCTAGATACAGGGTGACTGTTTCTGTTTGCTTAACGGAGCCTTGCGGTGGGCCTGTGTATATGTTACAAGATTGAATGTGGTGCATAGTTTATTCACCTAAATTATCTCAAATAGACCGTATCAAATCAAATCAAATCAAATTTTATTGGTCACATGCGCCGAATACAACAGGTGCAGACATTACAGTGAAATGGTTACTTACAGCCCTTAACCAACAGTGCATTTATTTTAAACAAAAAAAATAAAAATAAGTAAGAATAAAACAACAACAAAAAAAGTGTTGAGAAAAAAAGAGCAGAAGTAAAATAAAGTGACAGTAGGGAGGCTATATATACAGTAAAATAAAGTGACAGTAGGGAGGCTATATATACAGGGGGGTACCGTTGCAGAGTCAATGTGCGGGGGAACCGGCTAGTTGAGGTAGTTGAGGTAATATGTACATGTGGGTAGAGTTAACGTGACTATGCATAAATACTTAACAGAGTAGCAGCAGCGTAAAAAGGATGGGGTGGGGGGGCAGTGCAAATAGTCCGGGTAGCCATGATTAGCTGTTCAGGAGTCTTATGGCTTGGGGGTAGAAGCTGTTGAGAAGTCTTTTGGACCTAGACTTGGCACTCCGGTACCGCTTGCCGTGCGGTAGCAGAGAGAACAGTCTATGACTAGGGTGGCTGGAGTCTTTGACAATTTTGAGGGCCTTCCTCTGACACCGCCTGGTATAGAGGTCCTGGATGGCAGGGAGCTTTGCCCCAGTGATGCACTGGGCCGTACGCACTACCCTCTGTAGTGCCTTGCGGTCAGAGGCCAAGCAGTTGCCATACCAGGCGGTGATGCAACCAGTCAGGATGCTCTCGATGGTGCAGCTGTAGAATTTTTTGAGGATCTGAGGACCCATGCCAAATCTTTTTAGTCTCCTGAGGGGGAATAGGCTTTGTCGTGCCCTCTTCACGACTGTCTTGGTGTGTTTGGACCATGATAGTTCGTTGGTGATGTGGACACCAAGGAACTTGAAGCTCTCAACCTGTTCCACTACAGCCCCGTCGATGAGAATGGGGGCGTGCTCAGTCCTCTTTTTTTTCCTGTAGTCCACAATCATCTCCTTTGTCTTGGTCACGTTGAGGGAGAGGTTGTTGTCCTGGCACCACACGGCCAGATCTCTGACCTCCTCCCTATAGGCTGTCTCATCGTTGTCGGTGATCAGGCCTACCACTGTTGTGTCGTCGGCAAACTTAATGATGGTGTTGGAGTCGTGCCTGGCCATGCAGTCATGGGTGAACAGAGAGTACAGGAGGGGACTGAGCACGCACCCCTGAGGGGCCCCCGTGTTGAGGATCAGTGTGGCAGATGTGTTGTTACCTACCCTTACCACCTGGGGGCGGCCCGTCAGGAAGTCCAGGATCCAGTTGCAGAGGGAGGTGTTTAGTCCCAGGATCCTTAGCTTAGTGATGAGCTTAGAGGGCACTATGGTGTTGAATGCTGAGCTGTAGTCAATGAATAGCATTCTCACGTAGGTGTTCCTCTTGTCCAGGTGGGAAAGGGCAGTGTGGAGTGCGATAGAGATTGCATCATCTGTGGATCTGTTGGGGCGGTATGCAAATTGGAGTGGGTCTAGGGTTTCTGGGATTATGCTGTTGATGTGAGCCATGACCAGTCTTTCAAAGCACTTCATGGCTACAGACGTCAGTGCTACGGGTCGGTAGTCATTTAGGCAGGTTATCTTAGAGTTCTTGGGCACGGGGACTATGGTGGTCTGCTTGAAACATGTTGGTATTACAGACTCAGTCAGGGACATGTTGAAAATGTCAGTGAAGACACTTGCCAGTTGGTCAGCACATGCTCGGAGTACACGTCCTGGTAATCCGTCTGGCCCTGCGGCCTTGTGAATGTTGACCTGCTTAAAAGTCTTACTCACATCGGCTACGGAGAGCGTGATCATATAGTCGTCCGGAACAGCTGGTGCTCTCATGCATGCATAAAGAGATACCTAAGAGAGATATCCATTAACAGACATTATATATAAGTGATGTTCTGAGATATGTAAATGCGCCTGCTAGTATTCAGAGAATTCCTGTCTATATGGAGCATTTCAGTACTGTTTAATGGACAGCAAATCTCATTCCAAAGGGCCTGTGTATATATGTTTGGGATTCACACCTGTAGAAGAACAAAATACTGGCACTTACTTGTTAAAGGACAAGTTCAGTATTTTTAGACTTACTGTAAAACCGAGGATTACAGATTCTCCTGGGCCATAGACTACTTTCAAGGTAAAATTTTAAATCAATCTAAATAGAAAAATACCTAACTTGTCCTTTTACCCTTAGGTATTTAGTGTCTTGTATGCATTAAAGAATAATGCAGTACATGGAATGTTCTCTTATGTAACTTAATTAAGCATTAAGCATTCAGCAAGAATATGTTTTTACAAGTGATTGCATGTACATTTTCTTAAAAAATAAAACAGTAACATCAGACAGACTAAATATTAAAGGTCCAATGCAGCCGTTTTTACCTCAATATCAAATAATTTCTGGGTAACAATTAAAAGAAAAGCTTCTTAGCAAAGAGTAATTTCTAGAGCAAGAATTTAGCTAGGACTATCTGGGAGTGGTCTGAGTGGGGAGGGTACAACTGAAAACTAGCTGTTATTGGCAGAGAGGCATTGAAATCTCTTTCTTATTGGTCTATTAACTAATTTACCGCCTGATGATGTCACCAGGGAGGTCAAAACTCAATCCAACCAAAACAGGCTTAAATTTCAGGTGTTTTTTTCAAACAGCTCTTACACTAAAAGGGCATTATCATCATTTTCACAATTTCACACTATTATTCCAACCTCATAGTGTGGAATTATATATAAAAAACCGAAAAATATAGTTTTGTGCCTTTAAAACCTTACATATACAGTGGCAAAAAGTATAGGCGGTATCAAGACAAAAGTGACTAAGTACTCCATGACACATATAATGGATATATACACGTAATATGTGTTCTCATACACTCCCAACATACTCCAGATTATGTAACAGCATCAAAGAATCTCTATGAAATTAAAACATAAAACAAGCTGTAAACTTGGCCAGACAGTTGAAATTCTATGAACAACCTTGGCCTGTCTGCCAGACTATGTCAGACTATTCATTCTCTCAACTCCTTTTTTCTCCATTTGTCTGTCTGTCGGTCTGTCTCTGCTCTCTGACTGTGTGACTCTGCCTTTGTCGCTCTGGTGTTGTAGGTATCCTATGTGAAGGCCATCGACATCTGGATGGCGGTGTGTCTGCTCTTCGTATTCTCCGCTCTTCTCGAGTACGCCGCTGTCAACTTTGTCTCCAGGCAACACAAGGAACTCTTAAGACTCCGCCCGCGGAGAACGAAGAAGAAGGTAACGTGTACAGAACAATCTAGAACACATTCGTCGAATCAGAGCATGAACAAACAACTGCATATGACAATGACTGCATATTGACGTTATGGTGTTGTTCCTTTAGGAGCTCTGAGGCAGAAGTAAGTGGTTACCTAGTACTAATGAATAACTCATATCTCAATGCTTTAGCACCTAACAAATAATGAAACAAGCAATTATATGCTTCACAGATGTATCCTTCTCAGACATACACTGAGTATACCAAACATTAGGAACACCTTCCCCTTTTGCCCTCAGAACAGCCTTAATTCGTCGTGACTCTACAAGGTGCCGTAAGCGTTCCACAGGGATTCTGGCCCATGTTGACTCCAATGCTTCCCACAATTGTGTCAAGTTGGCTGGATGTCCTTTGGGTGGTGGACCATTCTTGATATGCACAGGAAACTGTTGAGTGTGAAAAACCCAGCAGCGTTGCATTTCTTGACACAAACTGGTGCGCCTGGCACCTACTATTATTTGATTTTAATTATTGTTTGGGGAGAGGGGGTAGATCAGCTTTAATGTTGCAGATAGATTGTAGCTTCCATCAATGTAATTGCCTGCATAATTTCCAATCCCCCATATATATATTTTTTATATACAGTACCAGTCAAAAGTTTGGACACACCTACCCAGGGTTTTTCTCTTACTTTTACTATATTCTACATTGTAGAATAATAGTGAAGACATCTAAACTATTAAATAACACATATGGAATCATGTAGTAACCAAAAAAGTGTTAAACAAATCAAAATATATTTTATATTTGAGATTCTTCAAAGTAGCTAACCTTTGCCTTGATGACAGCTTTGCACACTCTTGGCATTCTCTCAACCAGCTTCATGAGGTAGTCACCTGGAATGCATTTCACTTAACAGGTGTGCCTTGTTAAAAGTTAATTTGTGGACTTTATTTCCATCTTAATGCGTTTGAGCCAATCAGTTGTGTTGTGACAAGGTAGGGGGGTATACAGAAGATAGGCCTATTTGGTAAAAGACCAAGTCCATATTATGGCAAGAACAGCTGAAAAGCAAAGAGAAATGACAGTCCATCATTACTTTAGGACATGAAGGTCAGTCAATCAGGAAAATCTGAAGAACTTTGAAAGTTTCTTCAAGTGCAGTCTCAAAAACCATCAAGCGCTATGATAAAACTGGCTCTCATGAGGACCGCCACAGGAAAGGAAGACCCAGAGTTACATCTGCTGCAGAGGATAAATTCATTAGAGTTAACTGCACCTCAGATTGCAGCCCAAATAAATGCTTCACAGAGTTCAAGTAACAGACACATCTCAACATCAACTGTTCAGAGGAGACCGCATGAATCAGGCCTTCATCTTCGAATTGCTGCAAATAAACCACTACTAAAGGAAACCAATAAGAAGAAGAGAGCTGCTTGGGCCAAGAAACATGACTAATGGACATTAGACCAGTGGAAATCTGTCCTTTGGTCTGATGAGTCCAAATTTGAGATTTTTGGTTCCAACCGCCGTGTCTTTGTGAGACGCAGAGTAGGTGAACGGATGATCTCCACATGTGTGGTTCCCACCGTGAAGCATGGAGGAGGAGGTGTGATGGTGTGGGGGTGCTTTGCTGGTGACACTGTCAGTGATTTATTTAGAATTCAAGGCACATTTAACCAGCATGGCTACCACAGCATTCTGAAGCGATACGCCATCCCATCTGGTTTGCGCTTAGTGGGACTATCATTTGTTTTTCAACAGGACAGTGACCCAACACAACTACAGGCTGTGTAAGGGCTATTTGACCAAGAGGGAGAGTGATGGTGCTGCATCAGATGACCTGGCCTCCACAGTCACCCGACCTCAACCCAATTGAGATGGTTTGGGATGAGATGGACCGCAGAGTGAAGTAAAAGCAGCCAACAAGTGCTCAGCATATGTGAAAACTCCTTCAAGACTGTTGGAAAAGCATTCCTCATGAAGCTGATTGAGAGAATGCCAATAGTGTGCAAAGCGGTCAAAAAGGCAAGGGGGGGGGGGGGGGGGGGGTGCGTGTGTGTGTGTATGAAAAACCCTGCAGCATTGCAGTTCTTGACACAAACCGGTGCACCTGGCACCTACTACCATACCCCGTTCAAAGGCACTTTTGTCTTTTGTCTTGCCCATTCACCCTCTGAATGGCACATACACAATCCATGTCTCAATTGTCTCAAAGCTTAAAAATCCTTCTTTAACCTGTCTCCTCCCCTTCATCTACACAGATTGAAGTGGATTTAACAAGTGACATCAATAAGGGATCATAGCTTTCACCTAGATTCACCTGGTCAGTCTATGTCATGGGAAGAGCGGTCCTTAATGTTTTGTACACGTAGTGTAGATGTTGAGGGTTTATACCACAGATTGTATTATATTGGATTGCACATGTAAAGAGCTTGTAGCACTGTAGCGAACCACAACTAGTTGTCCATGAAACAAGCAGTGTAACATGAAATGTTGTCTGAAGATTGTCTGAGGATGTTGAGAAGTACCGAAAGATGAGGTTAACAGAGCAGCTCTGGGAATTAGTCGGTCAAAAATCTGACTTGACGGATGTAGAGGCGGCTTAGTGGCCTTGATTCTGTGATTAATTGGGTTTCTGGCCTTTTGGACTTCGGAAAAGATTAAGACGGAAAGGTCCAATTATACACTGTCTGTCACTAAATCAGGCCCTAGCCTGGACTCCTCTGGGCCATTGATGGAGACTGGGTCAGATAAATCATGTCTCTATGGTCAAAAGGCCTGCTTTTAGATTTCGGTTATTGAACCTATTTATCTAGGCAATTCAGTTGCGAACAAATTCTTACTCATGAAAGTAGACTTTAGAAAGTTAGCATAATCTTTGTATTCGGACTAGGCAAAACAACATGGCCTTGTTTGACACAAATAAAAAGTTGAGGCACAACAACAAAGCAACTTCCCCAACAGGTGCGATGTTCTACCATCCACCTTTGAGTCAACTCTGCCCTCCTGTGTCCATATACTGTTACTACATCAATCTGTCACACACCGAGGATTACATTTCCAATGTTTACTTAGACATGTTTACTTCAAAGCTTCCTGAAGGACAGAAACGGTCAGTGTCTGAACATTTAGCTGATGTCTGTGTTCCCTCCTATCCCTCATCCATTAATATAAGATGTAGACATACAGAAACAAGACTGCCTCTCTCTGTACCAGGGGGAAGAGTCCATTTGATTTATACCGTGTGGATTTGTCTAAGAGAATACTCAGGCCAATACAATCAAAGAGATGGAGGGAAGTAGAGATAGAACACGATGAGATAAAGATGAATGAACACTGCTTGTAACCAAGAGGAGGAAAAAGTCACTCTGAAGTTTAGAAAGTTGATAGGGGTCATTGTCAATTCATACATGCAGGGCTCAGCATTTTCTAACTAACTTGAGGTAACCAACTTGTCTAGAAGTCAAATACCAACACTCACACAAAAATAATGTTATGTTCAATTTCACCTCGCCCAGTTTCTTAAAGCATGGCACAACTTTCGTTGTGATTCACCTTCTTGTTTGATGTTCTTGTCTATTTTCATAAGTGTTTCATGCATATCCACAGGGTTTCAGGCATATCCACAGGGTTTCAGGCATATCCACAGGGTTTCAGGCATATCCACAGGGTTTAAGGCATATCCACAGTGTTTCATGCATATCCACAGGGTCCACAGGGTTTCAGGCACATCCACAGTGAATGCCTCTATATTGCATGATTCTCATCGTCATTTTAGTACTTTGTTTGCTTATCTTTTCCGTTTGCATGCTTCTTCTGTGATGAAAGAATGGTGGTGAGGATCACTCCATTGATCCCAAAGAGCTGGCTGAGTCATTGAGACGTATTAATGGTTTGAAAAACGACGATACGCCCATATATGGATCTATGGGCCACATCTACAATTCCTCTGACAGGGTAAAGAACATTAGAACCCAGCTATAAGAACCCCACACTCCATCTGGTCAGAAGTTTGTGTGTTTGTGTTTCTTGTAGTTGTGTACTGTTCCCCTGCTGTTTGTCGGTGTCGGTGTACCCTCCATATTCATATTGATTTTCACACCTAAGTATGAGAACTAGGGGACAGCATAGAAACAGATGAAGACATCATAGAAATATATACAGTTGAAGTCGGAAGTTCACATACACCTTAGCCTAATACATTTAAACTCAGTTTTTCACAATTCCTGACATTTTATCCTAGTAGAAATTCCCTGTCTTAGGTCAGTTAGGATCACCACTTTATTTTAAGAATGTGAAATATTTCTTTCATCACATTCCCAGTGGGTCAGAAGTTTACATACACTCAATTAGTATTTGGTAGTATTGCCTTTAAATTGTTTAACTTGAGTCAAACGTTTCAGGTAGCCTTCCACAAGCTTCCCACAATAAGTTGGGTGAATTTTGGCCCATTCCTCCTGACAGAGCTGGTGTAACTGAGTCAGGTTTGTAGGCCTCCTTGCTTGCACACGCTTTTTCAGTTCTGCCCACACATTTTCTATAGGATTGAGGTCAGGGCTTTGTGATGGCCACTCGAATACCTTGACTTTGTTGTCCTTAAGCCATTTTGCCACAACTTTGGAAGTATGCTTGGGGTCATTGTCCATTTGGAAGACCCATTTGCAACCAGGCTTTAACTTCCTGACTAATGTCTTGAGATGTTGCTTCAATATATCCACATAATTTTCCTTCCTCATGATTCCATCTATTTTGTGAAGTGCACCAGTCCCTCCTGCAGCAAAACACCCCCACAGCATGATGCTGCCACCCCCGTGCTTCACGGTTGGGATGGTGTTCTTCGGCTTGCAAGCCCCCGCTTTTTCCTCCAAACATAACGATGGTCATTATGGCCAAACAGTTCTATTTTTGTTTAATCAGACCAAAGGACATTTCTCCAAAAAGTACAATCTTTGTCCCCATGTGCAGTTGCAAACGTAAGTCTGGCTTTTTTATGGCAGTTTTGGAGCAGTGGCTTCTTCCTTGCTGAGCGGCCTTTCAGGTTATGTTGATATAGGACTCATTTTACTGTGGACATAGATACTTTTGTACTTGTTTCTTCCAGCATCTTCACAAGGTCCTTTGCTGTTGTTCTGGGATTCATTTGCACTTTTCATACCAAAGTACTTTCATCTCTAGGAGACAGAACGCATCTCCTTCTTGAGCAGTATGACAACTGCGTGGTCCCATGGTGTTTATACTTGCGTACTATTGTTTGTACAGATGAACGTGGTACCTTCAGGCGTTTGGAAATTGCTCCCAAGGATGAACCAGACTTGTTGAGGTCTACAATTTTTTGGCTGATTTCTTTTGATTTTCCCATTATGTCAAGCAAAGAGGCATTGAGTTTGAAGGTAGGCCTTGAAATACATCCACAGGTACACCTACAATTGACTCAAATGATGTCAATTAGCCTATCAGAAGCTTCTAAAGCCATGACGTCATTTTCTGGAATTTTCCAAGCTGTTTGAAGGCACAGTCAACTTAGTGTATGTAAACTTCTGACCCACTGGAATTGTGATACAGTGAATTATAAGTGAAATAATCTGTCTGTAAACAATTGTTGGAAAAATGACTTGTGTCATTCACAAAGTAGATGTCCTAACCGACTTGCCAAAACTATAGTTTGTTAACAAGAAATTTGTGGAGTGGTTGAAAAATGAGTTTTAATTACTCCAACCTAAATATATGTAAACTTCCGACTTCAACTGTATATATATATATATATATATATATATATATATATATATATATATATATATTTTTTTTTTTTTTTTTTTACAGTATTTCATCAAAGAGAATGTGTTGTAAAAAAGTACTATTTTTTGGCAATTCAATATTCCCAGGAGTCAGACAAACTTGTGGATACCATTTTTATATCTCTGCGTCCAGTATGAAGGAAGTCAAGATAAAGGGCTTCATTGCCGAATTCCCGAAGTATCCCTTTAAGCATAATGTGACTCATAATGCTGGTGTAGTGACTCATTGACTCTGTGACTTTCTTCATTACACCAATGGCATTTCATTATTCTTCATTATTTATTTAACGTCATAATGGCCTGTTGTCATCTTGTCACACACACACACTCCCTGTTTTCACTCCCTGTTTTCACTCCCGGTTTTCACTCTCTGTTCCTTGTTCCTTTCAGTTGGTGTTGCTGTTTGCTTTTATTTCCCTATCCATTTCTGTAGAAATTGCATTTCAGCCTGGAAACAAGGAAAATATCAAAACATTTCCTGATTTCCTATTCCTCCCTCTCATGTCAACATATAATTTGTTGTTCATTGTGAATTCGCTCATGGAAAAATTATTGCTCAAGTTTCACCACGTATTGATTCTGTTTTCATTCCATTTAAATAATTTCCATATTGGGCATGTCAAACAAAACTCTCACATGCAGGGCTTTGTTTGTGCGTATACCAAATGTAATACCCCTTCATTCATATGTCAATTGCTTTTTAAAGAGAATTTCCCGTTCTGATCCCTTTTTTCGACCCTAGTTTTGACATTTGAAGGAAAAGGCCAGGGGGACTCTTGAGTGGTGACAACTTGAAAGGGTAAAGGGTACAGGAATGAGTAGATTTAAAAGAGAGGGAGAAAGGAGTGTGTCCTAGGATAACACCAGAGGCATTATGGGTTATAAAAACAATAGACTAGAGGTTTTAAACAAGGTCTCATGTCGCACAAATCACTCCATGTTCATGTTGCACTTTGATAGATTTATTGAGTTAGGGAGAATAGGCATTGACTCAACATGAAGTCAAAGGCTGAAGTCAAGTTAAGTTGAAGTCAAGTTTAGTTGAAGTCAAGTTTATTTGGAGTGTTAGCAGGAGGGTCACTGAAGTGTACTTGGCTGGGAGACCTAGTCAGCCTGTCATATTGCTGCTGCTGCTATGGCAACCGATCCCCCATGGTTAAGAGAGGAAGAGGGAGAGGAAGAGGGAGAGCAAGATGGATGGAGGGAGAGGGAGGACATTTCAGTAACAGCATATTAAACTGTGTCCCTTTCTGGAGCACCTCAAGGCCATCCATCGGGGGAGCGTCCGTTCCCATTTGGTGAGATCATTCATCCTTGACCTCTGACCCCTATCTAACTAACGCCTGCCTTTCCTGTTCGTAGGACGACGACGTGAGGGAGAGCCGCCTCAGCTTCACCGCCACGGCCGGCGGTGGCAGCACGGCGGTCAAGGACGGCACCATCCCCAAGGCCACCAACAACGCCGCCACCACCCCGGGCGCCGCAGGGCCGCAGACCGCCCAGCAGCCCAAGAAGGACCCGGCCGTCAAGAGCCACGAGGAGATGAGAAAGCTGTTCATCGACCGCGCCAAGAAGATCGACACGGTGTCGCGGGCGGGTTTCCCCCTGGCCTTCCTGTTTTTTAACATTTTCTACTGGGTCCTGTACAAGATTCTCCGGGCCGAGGACGTGCACAAGGACTAGTACAGAACACTACAGTACAGTAGGGTACATTACAGCACAGTACAATGACACAAGGGGAAAGAAGACCCCGGTCCTTCCTTACAATGTGGGAACTGTTTGACATGAACATTTGGCAGTTCACCAACCACCTGGGGTTCCAAAACAAAGTCCTGCCAAGATTTCTTAAAAGAGGATTAAAGAGATGACTTACACTCGAGGGGATGAACTGAGGAGTTACATGTACAGAGCAGAGTGATATCCATATCACCCACCAACACCAAGAGAGGACAGACACGCTGCTCACTATGCAACTGGAGACCAGTTTGGAGTATCGGACGAGTCCCACTTCCCCACCCCACACAATGTGCAGTCAAAACAGGAGCATTGCTTTTATTCACCTCTGCAAACCATCTGTCACGAATACACACACACACACACACACATACAGGACCTCCCAAACACTGTACCCACACTTGTGTCTTACAGCTTTACTGCCAATGTTCTAAGTACTGTTTCATACAACACTGGTAAACAAGGAAAAACCTCCAGTACACACAAGTCCTTTGTAGATTTTCCACCAGACCTTGATTATAGTATATCTTTATTATAATTATCAGATATTTGTTATAATTCTCAGATATAAAAAGCTGCCACTTTGACACATTTCCAAGCTCACTAGTGTGGGTTAAATGTCCCGTTCCCTACTGCTACGTAATTAACCTCTTTGTGACTTTGATGAGTGATTCAACTCCCCATGTCCACACTCAGCACAAACTCAACTATGGTGTTGACATTTTTTTTCTCACCTTCATTTCCTTCATTTCCTTATCTCCGCAAAATGATGATTCACTATTCACTGTTCCGTTCACTCGGTCAACAAACCACTGCCGAAACACTCAAGTCAAACAGGGGGCCAAAAATGTGAAAGCATCAACCTTAAATTCCCTAGAATCTCAACACAAGCTGACAAAGGATTGAGCAAAGAGGTAACCTACTGAACGAACAACATGAAAATATAATATAAAGAGAGAGATTTGATACTGATGTAGTCGCCTTGAGTCCCCACTGTGAATTTGGAAGGCTGAGGATATCATTAAAGTAATTGCTGAGTGTTTTCAGATTTCTATTAAATATGACCTATAATTACTTATAATATGAGTGAAATAGTTTTCTTTCCAAAATGTTTGTAATTAAGTATGTTAAAAAAGCAGGTTTTCTGTGTTGGAATGGTGTGGGCGTACCCCAACAACAGAATGGTGTGGGTGTATACCGGTCATTAAAAATATTAACGCAAATAGACCACCGATTGGCCAGCTCATCCTCCTCTAGACTGCTGATTAGCCAGCTCATCCTCCTCAGGAAGATGACATGTTCAATGAGGAAATGGCAAGCATTTTTTAAACGGTCTGTTTGAGATACAAGTTTGAGGTGGGTTTTTTGAAGTGTTTTTTCTCCAATTCATGCTTTGGCCACAAATACGAGTATAGGACGAGTCAACAACATTATTTGGAAATTAGTTAACAGAATATGAACTTTTAAAAGGGAGATTTGCACTGTGCAGTTACTTTAACTGTATATAGCCATAATACTATACACAGCCTGAATCAGGCCTTTCACTTCTTGGTTTACAACTTGCCTTTCAATATAATCTTTCTTTTATCATGCTATCTATCAAACACTCACAAATTACCATTGCCCTGGTGTCACTGAGCATATCACTCAGAAACTGTGTTGGTAGTAGTACACAACCCTGGGGAGCACCATCACAATTAAGTTATAACTGATCTAGGTTCAGTATCCAGAGTACCTATATTTGAATAGTTACATGTATGGGATATAAGTCTTTTAAATGAAAGGAATTCGCACTCTCCATAAGTTGGGGGCTAAAAGTGCATGTATAACGATGAAGAAAGAATTTGAATAGATTGTAATTGTTATGATGAAGTAAAAAAATAAAATATATATATATATATTTTAAAATAATTATAGAAATGAGGGGTGGTTTACTTTGTACAATATGTTGATATAATAAAATTATTATCAACAACAGAGCTGTATGAACAGACAAATTATCGGAATATCGGACAAATGGGCAATGATTCAGTCGTGTCATGTTCAGAGACAGAGACAACCTGACAATGGAGAGGACAAAAACAGAAATATATTTATGGCTAAATTTATGAAACGTGCAATATATCAATCTCCTCTCCTTTTTCTAGATGGTTGAAGGGTTCTTGTACTCCAAGACTGTTGTGATGTTTTTTGAAAGATATGAATAAATATCTGGTAAGGCATTTCCAGAATTTTACACAGTTTAAAAACGACCACTGATTAAATCTATGAAGAAATACTGTGCCATATACTTTTGGTAAAAACATATCTATACTCCCACATTCCTTAATAAAGTGACAAAGCTTTCATATAGTTCTTCAGATTTTAATACCACTTCTACATATTAGTATTTGACAGTTATACACAATGTGAAGGATGAATTAATATATATGTTTAATGTACATTTTCATTGCAAGTGTATTTAAATACTTTATTTTGTTCAAAAATGACAGTATTATTAAATGTTAGATGCATGAACCGAATTCAATGTCAATGTATTTATTTTTGAACTTGTGTTCGACCAGTAGGTCAGTGTTTTATTTGCTGCTGGGAGGATGAGAAGAACACATGTGCTTTCTTCCATTATAATGTACATCTGTAAATACTTTTCATAAATCTAATAAAAGTCCTTTGGAGAGAAAAAAAAGATTGTGAGAAAAAAAACCGGTTACATTTCTAAATGAAGATTTGGTCATTGTCTTTGTTACTGTAACGATTCAGAGGATCATACAGAGTGGGTGTAGAACCTGTGACCCTGCTGTGCCATAAAGTTCAAATCAAATTCAATTGTATTGCTCACATACACATATTTAGCAGATGTTATTGTGGGTGTAGCGAAATGCTTGTGTTCCTAGCGCCAACAGTGCAGTAATATCTAACAATTCACAACAATACACACAAATCTAAAAAGTAAAAGAATGGAATTAAGAAATATATAAATATTAGGACGAGCAATGTCAGAGTGGCATTGACCAAAATACAGTAAAATACAGTATACAGCGCATTCAGAAAGTATTCAGACCCCTTAACCTTTTCCACATTTTGTTACGTTACAGCCTTATTCTAAAATTAATTAAATTATTATTTTCCCTCATCAATCTACACACAATACCCCATAATGACACAGTGAAAACAGGTGTTTTGAATTTTTAGCAAATGTATTAAAAATTAAAAATACCTTATTTACATAAGTATTCAGACCCTTTGCTATGAGACTCGAAATTGAGCTCAGGTGCATCCTGTTCCCATTGATCATCCTTGAAATGTTTCTACAACTTGATTGGAGTCCACTTGTGGTAAATTCAATTGATTGGACATGATTTTGAAAGGCACACACCTGTCTAAATAAGGTCCCACAGTTGACAGTGCATGTCAGAGCAAAAACCAAGCCGTGAGGTCGAATGAATTGTCTGTAGAGCTCCGAGACAGGATTGTGTCGAGGCACAGATCTGGGGAAGGGTACCAAAAAATGTCTGCAGCATTGAATGTCCCCAAGAACACAGTGGCTTCCATCATTCTTAAATGGAAGAAGTTTGGAACCACCAAGACTCTTCCTAGAGCTGGCCGCCCGGCAAAATTGAGCAATCGGGTGAGAAGGGCCTTAGTTAGGGAGGTGACCAAGAACCCGATGGTCACTGACAGAACTCCAGAGTTCCTCTGTGTAGATGGGAGAACCTTCCAGAAGGACAACCATCTCTGCAGCACTTCACCAATCAGGCCTTTATGGTAGAGTGGCCAGACGGAAGCCACTCCTCAGTAAAAGGCACATGACAGCCAGCTTGGAGTTTGCCAAAAGGCACCTAAAGGACTCTCAGACCATGAGAAACAATATTTTCTGGTCTGATGAAACCAAGATTGAACTCTTTGGCCTGAATGCCAAGTGTCATGTCTGAAGGAAACCTGCCACCATCTCTACGGTGAAGCATGGTGGTGGCAGCATCATGCTGTGGGGATGTTTTTCAGATGAACTGAGCAAAGTACAGAGAGATCCTTGATGAATACCTTCTCCAGAGCACTCAGGACCTCAGACTGGGGTGAAGGTTCACCTTCCAACAGGACAACGACCCTAAGCACACAGCCAAGACAACGCAGGAGTGTCTTCGGGACAAGTCTCTGAATGGCCTTGAGTGGCCCAGCCAGAGCCCGGACTTGAACCCGATCGAACATCTCTGGAGAGACCTGAAAATAGCTGTGCAGCGATGCTCCCCATCCAACCTGACAGAGTATGAGAGGATCTGCAGAGAAGAACGGGAGAAACTCCCAAAATACAGGTATGACAAGCTTGTAACGTCATCCCCAAGTTCTTTCTAAAATCCTGTTTTTGCTTTGTCATTATGTGGTATTGTGTGTGTGTGGGGGGGGGGGGGGGGGGCGACGACAATTTAATCCATTTTAGAATAAGGTTGTAAAGTAACAAAATGTGGTAAAAGTCAAGGGGTCTGAATACTTTCTGAATGCACTGTATACATATGAAAGTAGTAAAACAGTATGTCAACATTATTAAAGTGACCAGTGATTCCACCACTATGTACAACCTCTAAGGTGCAGGGTTGAGTAACCTGGGTGGTAGCTAGGGATGGCTATTTAACAGTCTGATGGCCTTGAGATAGAAGCTGTTTTTCAGTCTCTCGGTCCCAGCTTTGATGCGACTGTACTGACCTCGCCTTCTGGATGATAGCGTGGTGAACAGGCCGGGTGGTTGAAGTCCTTGATGATGTTTCAGACCCCGTGGCAGATGCAAATGGTCACATTTTATATATAGGCCTATATCTTAACGTCATGAAATCCATTCCCAATCTAACATAAAGCTATTGCCTTTTAAAACAGACTGTAGGCCTACCAATAGTGAGCTTTATGACTTCACTGCATGGTTGCGCTATATGAACAGTATAGCAGTAGATATTCTCTCATGCTGTCGCCAGTCACAGAGATCACATTAAATTGAGCAATATGTAATTCTATGATGCCAGTAGTGAGCTTCTACTGTAGGCCTATCTCAGTAGGAGGTCGGTTTGGAATATGAAATAAGTGAAAGACGAGACGCCGTAATTATCCGCGGTGTGTTTATTAACGCTACATACACCGCACGCCCCTTTTCTGACAACTAATGTAGCAGATGATTTAGGAGCCTACATAAAGCAGCGCGGCGTGTCGCAGCCAGATGAAGTGTCAATGATGACTCTGCGAGGTAAAGTGGCTCTAGTTACGGGCGGAGCGCAAGGTATCGGTAGAGCCGTAGCAGAAAGCCTACTGAAGAATGAAGGAAAGGTTGGTGTTTATATATAAAGTTATTAGCCTATTGTCGCCCGTAAATGCACTGTGGTTTTGGTTACTTTACGCATTTTACGCGCGGCGCTTGTACCAACCTCTCGTGCTTGTATGGAGCCAAAACCAACCCTGCAACGGTGTTGCACAAGAACCGTTTAAAATATTTGGACATAGTTTTGTAGATGTTCTGATTTTTATATCTGCAGGTTGCACTTGTTGACTTGAATCAAAGTGTCGGAGAGGAATGCAAGAAGATTTTAGATGGAGAGTTTGGAGATGGGAACTGCATTTTCATTCAATGTGATGTGACGGACAGATTGAAACTTAAAGGTAATGGTTGCCTGACAATAAAACTATGATACTTCTGGTTCATAGTCTGAGATTATTGGCATTCCGTTTGGAACATTTCCTCTCACAAACTCTACAAGCCTGAATGTTTAATGCAATTTTATTTCAGTTTAGGCTACTCTGCCAGTCGTCTGTGCTGTTTGTGGGTTTTGTGGGTAGGAATTTGAGAAAAAATATCCACAGGAAAGTTTTCAAACGCTGGTACTGCTTTCTATCACCTGGCACATGCACAAAACAATGTAAACACGTGCACGAGCTCGGAAAGTATGCATGCATCGCTTGCATGTATTTACATCGTGTGAGTATGCTTCTAGTGATAGACATCTGAACCCACTACCAGCGCTTTGAAAAGTTGGTTTAATTATACTTGCCTGTGGACATTTTATCTCCACTTCCTACGGTCAAAAGGACCAACAGCATGGACAACCGGTCAAGTTTACATATAATTGTATTCAACATTCTGGCTTGTAAATAAGAGACTCTTGTGTCCATGGGGTAACCATGGTAACAGTCTGACTTTCGGCAAAGGTAATTGCACCTTTACTAGGGTACTGCAGCTGCTATCTTTTCTTTAGAGGTTATTAGCCTAACCTACCTAAAACTAACTATATGCATAATAATCTAATTTATCTCATGCTGCACAGTGGGTTAGAATTCAGAATATTCTCCTTTTCGATCACCTTTAGGCCTACCTATTTTAAGACATCATTCACCTCTGAAACAGACTTTCATTGTGTGGAAATGAATTAGATACTTTTGACATGATTTCAAAAACGCCCCAGGCAAAACACATTGGAATGTTCTTGGATGTAGCCTTACCTAAATATCTGCGCTTATAAGAGTCCATTCAACCAACACTGAACACTGTCAATGCATGACTGAAACTTAAACGTCGACACGGTTTATTTAGTCTTGTAAAACAGGACATTTGTTAGACATTTGTTGTTAAAGTAAAGCAACGTACGTGACTTGTTGCTCCTGCCTTGGTTAAGGTGATTAATTTTTTATTTAATTGAAGGTTTTGTTGTGGAATGTTTTCAGCTGAAAGGCAGGTGCTGGTAAATACCTGTTTTACTGCACTTTTTGTGGCTTAGATAATTGTTTAGATGTACTTGTTTACTTAGATAGACAAAGATGCAATGTTCTTGTAGTAAACATAACCTGTATAATTAATCTAAGAGCTAGATGTTCTTCTTTGATATAGCATCTAAATTATAGTTTAGATGTAAATAAACAAAGAGGCAATGTTCTTGACAAATGTCCATCTTGTATGGACTGATAGTGTTCTTCTTGTAGGGGTTAATCTATAGTTAATCAATCTAAGTGTTGGACTCTTCTTTCATATTGCAGATGCTTTTCAAAGTACAGTCGACCGGTTTGGAAGATTGGATATTGTCGTCAACAATGCTGGCATCAACAATGAGAAGGACTGGGAGAAGACCATTGAAGTGAATCTGGTAAGAGGTGTGTGTGTGTGTGTGTGTGTGTGTGTGTGTGTGTGTGTGTGTGTGTGTGTGTGTGTGTGTGACTAACACCAGTAAATGTAAGATTGAATGTATTTTTGTCATTGAATGTCTTTTCATTGAGATAGTTTGTTTTGGAAAAATTGACTTTCACAATCTGTTACTTGACTATCTGTGCAAAATCAATCTGCTGTTGGCCAGAAATAGGCTAACGTTGGAGGAAAGGCCAAGCTATCCCTTAAAGATAAGGAAAGTCTTGTCGACCTGGACTTGTCTAGGATTCTAACTTATGACAATGATTAAACCTTACTTTACCTGTTAATGTAGATCATGACAGATTAGGTATTTTGCTGGCCTACTCATGATTAAGAATCATGCATAAATGCTGTAGTTTAGCCTAGTTTACATTACATGATATAGTTTAGCCTAGTTTACATTACATTTCATAATGCTGTAGTTTAGCCTAGTTTACATTATATTACATGATGCTGTAGTTTAGCCTAGTTTACATTATATTACATGATGCTGTAGTTTAGCCTAGTTTACATTATATTACATGATGCTGTAGTTTAGCCTAGTTTACATTACATGATATAGTTTAGCCTAGTTTACATTACATTTCATAATGCTGTAGTAACTACGTTAGCCTAGTTCATTAATTCATGAGCTAGTTTAGCCAGTTACATTATGATGCATCTAGCATGATGCTGTATTTAGCCTAGTTTACATTACACGATGCTGTAGTTTGGCCTAGTTTACATTACATGATGCTGTAGTTTAGCCTAGTTTACATTACATGATGCCGTAGTTTAGCCTAGTTTACATTACATTACATCAGCAAAGAGTTCTACCACAATCATCACTCCATTTTGTCTGAATAAGAGCAAAACAGTTAAATAAGTGTGACTGTTGTATGTGTTGGTTATTGAAACTCAAGCCCTCTTGTTTCTCTCCATAGACATCAGTCATCAAGGGAACTTACCTGGCCCTGGATCATATGAGCAAAGAGTATGGAAAAGAAGGAGGAGTTATCATCAATGTCTCATCAATGGCAGGTAAGGCTGCTCCATACATGCATCAATACTTTATGTACTGCATGCTGCACACCAATACATTGAAGCCTTCTCAAGCTGTTGCTTTGTACTGTACACTGCACATCAGTACATTGATGCCTTCTCAAGCTGTTGCTTTGTACTGTACACTACACATCAGTACATTGAAGCCTTTGCAAACATAAAGAAAAGGGATACAGTGTTGTATGTGGATGTGGGAATGACTAGCTACCTCTTTGATCATGTGGTTGCTTTCAGCTGATGTGAGTAACCCATATGTAATGCAATAGGTCACAGGTCATCAGCTATAAAGAACCACATTGACGTCATTCACTGTTATTGTTGGAAGTCCCAGGTATGTGTTATGGTACAGTATGGTTACACAGTGTACCATAACACAACACAGTCAGGTGTAAGGCAAACATTACCGCTTAATAGATTAGAGTTTGATGTTGTTTTCACAGTGGACAACAAGCATTGCTGTGTGCGTCTACTATTTGCTTAGTGGGGTAGGTTAAAGCTGTTCTTCGCCTCAGTCAGCAAACTAACAACTACTTCTCATTTTTCAATCTTTCTCCACAGCAGCATGTGGAGATTGAGAAAGCATGTTATTAGTGCAATCCATGTCAGCTAGCGCAGCCACTATGTGCAAGAATTGTCTCAATGTCTGTCTGTGGTTCAATGGCTTACATCTTGATCCGGCAGCAAAATCATTAAACTGACAAGAAGAGGTGGGGGAAGTTCAATTTGGTGTGTGGTGGGCTGTGTTGGATTGGGAGAGATTTGTTGGAATGGAGACAGTAATGCCACAACAGACAGCCCACTGACTGTGAGACTCAGTCAAGTGTCACTAACTCTGTTTTCATATAAGCAGCACACCTGGGTTCACATACTATTCGAAATCTTTCAGATGGTTTTGGCATTTGCTCAAGTCTACCTTGAGTGCCAGCTGGGTGGGGTTTGGACTTTTACATTTACATTTTACATTTTAGTCATTTAGCAGACGCTCTTATCCAGAGCGACTTACAGGAGCAATTAGGGTTAAGTGCCTTGCTCAAGGGCACATTTACGTCATTTAGCAAACGCTCTTATCCAGAGCGACTACAAATTGGTGCATTCACCCTATAGCCAGTGGGATAACCACTTTACAATTATACTTTTTTTTTGGGGGGGGGGGGGGGGGGGGGGTAGAAGGATTACTTTATCCTATCCCAGGTGTTCCTTAAAGAGGTGGGGTTTCAAATGTCTCCGGAAGGTGGTGAGTGACTCCGCTGTCCTGGCGTCGTGAGGGAGCTTGTTCCACCATTGGGGTGCCAGAGCAGCGAACAGCTTTGACTGGGCTGAGCGGGAACTATGCTTCCGCAGAGGAAGGGGAGCCAGCAGGCCAGAGGTGGATGAACGCAATGCCCTCGCCTGGGTGTAGGGACTGATCAGAGCCTGAAGGTACGGAGGTGCCGTTCCCCTCACTGCTCTCCATAGGCAAGCACCATGGTCTTGTAACGGATGCGAGCTTCAACTGGAAGCCAGTGGAGTGTGCAGAGGAGGGGGGTGACGTGAGAGAACTTGGGAAGGTTGAACACCAGACGGGCTGCGGCATTCTGGATGAGTTGTAGGGGTTTAATGGCACAGGCAGGGAGCCCAGCCAACAGCGAGTTGCAGTAATCCAGACGGGAGATGACAAGTGCCTGGATTAGGACCTGTGCCGCTTCCTGTGTAAGGCAGGGTCGTACTCTCCGAATGTTGTAGAGCATGAACCTGCAGGATCGGGTCACCGCCTTGATGTTGGCGGAGAACGACAGGGTGTTGTCCAGGGTCACGCCAAGGCTCTTCGCACTCTGGGAGGAGGACACAACGGAGTTGTCAACCGTGATGGCGAGATCATGGAACGGGCAGTCCTTCCCCGGGAGGAAGAGCAGCTCCGTCTTGCCAGGGTTCAGCTTGAGGTGGTGATCCGTCATCCATACTGATATGTCGGCCAGACATGCAGAGATGCGATTCGCCACCTGGTTATCAGAAGGGGGAAAGGAGAAGATTAGTTGTGTATCGTCAGCGTAGCAATGATAGGAGAGGCCATGTGAGGATATGACAGAGCCAAGTGACTTGGTGTATAGGGAGAAAAGGAGAGGGCCTAGAACTGAGCCCTGGGGGACACCAGTGGTGAGAGCACGTGGTGCGGAGACAGCTTCTCGCCACGCCACTTGGTAGGAGCGACCGGTCAGGTAGGACGCAATCCAGGAGTGAGCCGCGCCGGAGATGCCCAGCTCGGAGAGGGTGGAGAGGAGGATCTGATGGTTCACTGTATCAAAGGCAGCAGACAGGTCTAGAAGGACAAGAGCAGAGGAGAGAGAGTTAGCTTTAGCAGTGCGGAGAGCCTCCGTGACACAGAGAAGAGCAGTCTCAGTTGAATGACCAGTCCTGAAACCTGACTGGTTTGGATCAAGAAGGTCATTCTGAGAGAGATAGCAAGAGAGTTGGCTAAAGACGGCACGCTCAATAGTTTTGGAAAGAAAAGAAAGAAGGGATACTGGTCTGTAGTTGTTGACATCAGTGGGATCGAGTGTTGGTTTTTTGAGAAGGGGTGCAACTCTCGCTCTCTTGAAGACGGAAGGGACATGGCCAGCGGTCAAGGATGAGTTGATCAGCGAGGTGAGGTAGGGGAGAAGGTCACCGGAGATGGTCTGGAGAAGAGAGGAGGGGATGGGGTCAAGCGGGCAGGTTGTTGGGCGGCCTGCAGTCACTAGTCGCAAGATTCAGCAGTGAGGAGAATGTGGCAAAGAGCTTCCTAGGGTTAGAGGCAGATGCTTGGAATTTAGAGTGGTAGAAAGTGGCCTTAGCAGCAGAAACAGATGAAGAAAATGTAGAGAGGAGGGAGTGAAAAGATGCCAGGTCGGCAGGGAGTTTAGTTTTCTTCCATTTCCGCTCAGCTGCCCGGAGCTCTGTTCTGTGAGCTCGCAATGAGTCATCAAGCCACAGAGCTGGAGGGGAGGACCGAGCCGGCCGGGAGGATAGGGGACACAGGGAGTCAAAGGTGCAGAAAGGGAGGAGAGGAGGGTTGAGGAGGCAGAATCAGGAGATTGGAGGGAGAAGGATTGAGCAGAGGGAAGAGATGATAGGATGGAAGAGGAGAGAGTAGTGGGAGAGAGAGAGCGAAGGTTGCGGCGGCGCGTTACCATCTGTGTAGGGGCAGAGTGAGTAGTGTTGGAGGAGAGCGAGAGAGAAAAGGATACAAAGTAGTGCTCGGAGACATGGAGGGGAGTTGCAGTGAGATTAGTAGAAGAGCAACATCTAGTAAAGATGAAGTCAAGCGTATTGCCTGCCTTGTGAGTGGGGGGGGATGGTGAGAGGGTGAGGTCAAAAGAGGAGAGGAGTGGAAAGAAGGAGGCAGAGAGAAATGAGTCAAATGTAGACGTGGGGAGGTTGAAATCCCCCAAGACTGTGAAGGGTGAGCCATCCTCAGGAAAGGAACTTATCAAGGCGTCAAGCTCATTGATGAACTCTCCAAGGGAACCTGGAGGGCGATAGATGACAAGGATATTAAGCTTAAATGGGCTAGTGACTGTGACAGCGTGGAATTCAAATGAGGAGATAGACAGATGGGTTAGGGGAAAAATTGAGAATGACCACTTGGGAGAGATGAGGATTCCTGTGCCACCACCCCTCTGACCAGATGCTCTCGGGGTATGCGAGAACACATGGTCAGACGAGGAGAGAGCAGTAGGAGTAGCAGTGTTTTCAGTGGTAATCCATGTTTCCGTCAGTGCCAGGAAGTCGAGGGACTGGAAGGTGGCATAGGCTGGGATGAAGTCAGCCTTGTTGGCGGCAGAACGGCAGTTCCAGAGGCTGCCTGAGACCTGGAACTCCAGGTGTGTGGTGCGTGCAGGGACCACCAGGTTAGAGAGGCAGCAGCCACGCGGTGTGAGGCGTTTGTGTAGCCTGTGCGGA